TGTACGCTTGGTACGAATTTTGGTCAAAATATCATAAAATGTTGGACAAAAAGTCGCCTTTCTAATAAAAACCTAAGAAATGCATCGAAAGCAAACGAATGTTTGAAGTTGTACAACGAGTGGTAATAATTCGTGATTTTGAAAACAGAAATCGTAAGTATTTTATTGTTCCATTTATTTACTTCAAACGGCTAGCTCAGCCTAGGTGTATTAAAAATACATGCTGAATTTGCTGAATTTTCTTGTCCCTCTTTGAAGCAACTATATACTTCTTATGTATATCCTGCCGACCTACCCGACTGGCTGCTAGTAAAATAATTTGGGCATGTAAGCAGTGCCTTACCCTGTTTGGGACACAAAAATGCTAATAAGAGTGCAAAACGAGAAAGGGTGCATTTTCCTCAGTGCCATATGCTTCATGACCCCTTCATCAGGGCGTTGAGGAAGAAGTCACAGGAATACCCATGAAAAATTCATGCAAGATTTGAAATGTCACATTTAGTTTGATTTCTAACCCACAGGATATTATGTTGCCTGAGTTAAATACATACCATGTCCTTAGGTAGAGCAAAACCAGATCAAATTGTTTCACATTTCATTCTTGGAATGATGGATTGTCCCACGTACTTTAGGGATGTTAATACTCAGGGGCTGCTTGTATGAAAGCCAGATTCCAAAGCTGAAATTTTATTGGTTTTCATGCATTTTTAGAACGGTTGAAAAAATAACTATCAGGTGGATATACAACTGGCCCCGTTTGGGGTTTCTTTAGTGAAAATCTGTTTATTAATCAATCCCCCCTCGATATCGATATCGTGTTTTTTTAATGCTGCAACAGCCTATGTGTCGGTGAAAGGATATTACTTCCAGTCTGTTAATCTGAAATTTTTATTTGTATATGTACAGTAGGTCATGAGTGAACATCTTGAAACATTTCTTTCCAATATCAGGTTGGTAAATTATTTTCACCTCTGAATCATTAATATAATGTGCAAATTCTAAAGCATGTAAATATTACATAATGCTATGTACACCTGATTTCCAGCAGTCTTAATGATGACGATGATGAATATCCTGTTTCTTGTTATGATGTAAAGGAAGCATTTCAAACAATGACTTCTAATGAGGATTTGGATTTTGAAGAGATTGCTGAAGGTACAAATAAAATGGGTTCAATGGAATTGTATTGCATTGTGATTTTTTATGCTTGCAAGGAAATACAAATAACAACAGCTAAAAAGAACTGTTTTCTATAATCGATAAAGTTGTGGTTGCTAAATACTGTAAAATTCAGAAAACATATCTTGCAAGTATTTAATATAAGATTGAATCTGTATTTGTCTATTTTCCATACGCACCTTGTAGTTACACTAAAGGCCCTGTTACACACAGCTCAATTCTGAGCCTGCTACAGCATTCATTCAACAGTTTATTTGAGTTATGTACAAGTCACTGTAGGTGCTGTTTTTGCCAATGCCAAAACAAACTAATTACTGATATTCAAACATCAAAATATGAAATATAGAAATTATGAAATATAAAAATTTACACCATTAGCTGCTGACAGGTTTATTTTATTTATTTGTTTTCATTTTTCAATATACATTACTGTATAAATTGGTATTGTCATGTAATTTTTTACTAGTATCTTTTATGGATACCAATCTTACCTTTCTTAAACCCTAAACTAAAAGATTATAGTATCCAGTTATGTTGTCTTGGTTCATGTCTGTGCATAATTAATCCAAGGAAACAAAGGCCAAAGCTCATGCAAGATACTGGGCAGCAGATTAGTAATTGTACTGAGTGGGGGGATGCAATAATTATAACCAGATGTGATATTTCTTATAATTATTATATACATGTTGTATATTTAATTAGGTCATACCTTAATTGTGCCTCAATGAGCTACAGACAATGTATATGTATGCTTCTTGTGATGCACCTTAATTATAATAGTTTAAACTTGCAATGGTGCCGGTCCTGTGTGACCTAAGAAAAGTCATTGATGTTTTGCATTTGATATGGAATATATAAAATCCGATATATTATATATTCGATATACTCATTTGATATATTATACATATAGCAGGAGCTGTACAATGAATTATGAATGAACAAAAATACAACTGTGGATATTCATCCCTCCATTAGTCCATTATCCAAAAATCCCTAATTACGTAGCCGCCGTAGATGATGTGCGCACAACTGCACAAGTGTGTTATTGTAACATAGCTTACATGTGGAATTACGTGTGTGGGAGGGCTGTGCGCTCGTGCTATGCATAATTATAAATACAAACTAAGGATTTGCGAGGAAAATATTTTATTACTCAAAAGACACATGTTACAACATTGGGAATATTTCTTTCAGTACCATGAGGACTGTTCATTTTAAAAGTTGATTTTTTAAATATTCTTTGTATGCTTTGTGACGACTGTTCTCGTGACTTGTAAACCGTTTTCTTGTCGTTTTAACCGTGTACTTAAGGCTTGTTATGCCTAGAATCCAGAAAGAATTAAGAAAAAATCTATTTAGAGCGCCTTTTGTGGATGAGACGACTAAAGAGAGATCCGGTACATAAGAAAATTATGCACACAAAAGATGGGTTTATTACAAATGATGATGATTTGACCAAGAAGAAGCAATAGAAACTGCAGTTGATAAGAGAAAGTTTCTTATTAAGAGGCTTTAAAACGACCACGAGATGGAAGATGTGAAGGAAAATAAAGGCAGTAATGATGATGACTACAATGATGATAAAGATTAGAATTTAAACTTAGTCGAATGGTTTACTAAACCTTTCTTAAGGAAACTAAAATGCCAAAAATAAACGAACGAAATGCGATAAAAACGATTTAGAAGAACTTGTTAATTGCTGTGACTAATTACAAGACAAATAAATGTTAAACGAGTCTGTGATGAATATAAAAGACCCTAATGTTCTAAGTATCTTGAACCAGCTATCTCGTTAGAAAGAAAACTCATACCAAAATGACCCACTCGAGTCAGGTTTTATTGTCTTCTTTACCACGCCGTCCACTCTTAAGTACACGGTTAAAATGACAAGAGAACGGTTTACAAGTCACGAGAACGATCATCACAAAGCATACAAAGAATATTTAAAAAATCAACTTTTAAAATGTAGGAAATATTCTCAATGTTGTAACATGTGTAATTTGAGTAATAAAATATTTTCCTCGCAAATCCTTAGTTTGTATTTTTAATATGTATAGCGTGAGCGCACAGCCACCTCACGCAAGTTATTCCACATGTAAGCTATGTAGCAATAACACGCTTGTGCGCACATCATCTCGCGTGGAAGGCGCGCATACGTTCGGTAAAACCGACAGTTCCCGACGTCCCAAGTGGGATTCACGCATCGCGTGATTTTGCCGCTATATGCGGGGGGGGGGGGTTACTTACTAACAACAATAATACTAATGAACATTATGTGTAGATTCATTAAACCATGATAATTGACTTTGGATTTGACAAGGCAAAGAAGATAACATATTAGACCTTTAACAGCCACTACTACGATAGCCAGAGGTTGAAATCTTCCAGTGAAATATTTTATATCAGCATTCAAAACTCAAAAGATTAGCTATCGATAACTTTCGTTTGACACAAATAAAAATAAAGTTTTCCTATCATAATTAGGTCATGTATACCAAAAGTCAAAAAGGTTAAAGCATATATAACTGTTTACCCAGAAGCTTTTGCAGTTGTTTATACTATAGATAGTCCAAAGGCAAAAAACGAAAATATTTCAAAAACGGCTCACCTGAGGCAAAAATAGCTTTCCCGTAAGTGAATTAAACCATTCAAAACATCATATATCGAGCAAGAAGCCACTTTTCCATTTACTTTTTGAACAAGGAAAAAGAAAAACAATTTTATCTTTTTTAGAGGAAATATGAAAAAATATATACCGAAAGTAGAAAATGATTTCGTAAAAGCCAGGAGGGAGACGGAAATTTTTCACAGAAAATTTTTGTTTTAGTCTTAAGCCTAAATATGCCTATGGTTAGGATTAGACATGACAATGGACGACTTGCGCTTTAGACTAACTTACCTCAGCGATAAAAAGGACATTTTCTAAAAGAGCTTGCTAAAATTAGTAATTTGGTTACAAATTTCAGCACGTAATACAAAAGTATACAAAATTTGCCAACTTAGCACGGCTATATTTTCCGTATTTTACAAAATTTCGCAGCCAAACTTTGCATTTACACTAATTTACTGTAAGTAAGATCTTTGTAGCAGTGATGATTTATTTTCTTCTACTGTAGTTACTTCGATCAAAAATTAGTCTAAAGCGCAAGTCGTCCATTCGGGTAGAAAGAATGTTAGGATTAGGACTTAATCGAGTCAGGGCTAGAAATTTCAGGAAACAGAACTTTTTTTTAATAATACATAATTGGAGAAAATTTTGGTTTGTATAGGTTTTCATACGGATTTAGATGCATTTATGTCTGTGTTAGACGATTACCCCTCATCAGAAAACGAAGATTCACAAAACAAAAATTTGATCAAGACATCCGAGCATTGTGTACAGGGTGAGAGCATGTCTAACTCTCAGTCTGAGAACGAATTTATTGAGGTGTCAAGTTCTTCGGCCTCAAGATCAACAAATATGATACTTATGGATTTTGATCCTGATGATGAACGCAATAAGATTATTTATGATGTACCTGGCAGCAATGACCTGTCTTCACATTCCTCCCGAAAAAGTAAGGAATTTCAGGATTCACTGAAAAAATATTTTAAAATACTTCACACAGTGAAAAACAGTAGACAATTTAAAATTGGTTACCTTGGACATAGATAAAAGATGGACGCCCATCTCAGTGGTAAAAATGTCCCAAGGCATATAGAGATTATAAATAACACTAGAGGGGGTATCGAGGAGAAGTTGCATGGGGAGCGCGTTAATTGGCATTGATGAATTCGAAGCCAAATAGGCGCTATAGGCTTAGCATCCGGGAATTGAATTTGCCCCCCATTAACGCGCTTCGTTCTTCGACTGATGTTTCCGATACCAATGCCTCAATCCCTCAATGTGTTATTTATAATCTCTATGGAAAGGCAGCGTGGCTTTCTTCATTTGTCATTAGACTCATTACGTCATTGTTTTTATTCTCTCTGCCATGTGACTTGTGTGACCTATTTCACTAATTTTTCGGAGATAAAAATTCATTTAAAAATTAATCTATATCAATTAAAAGCCAACAATTAATATAAAACGGCAGAAATAGAAAATTTGAGGACACAAAAATAATCTCTAGTTACTCTTCTGATACAACCAAAGCTTCCATTAACCGCGCACTCGAAACAAGGTTTTGAAAGTTTGAATTAATGAGTTTTTCAACGGAAACACATTTGTTTTGACACTCAAACGTTTTCTGGGAGGGGCCAAAACAATTAGTTTCGCAATCAAAACAGTACACTTTTGCTTATAATTGTAACCAAAATTTGTAGCTTTGTTATGGAGTGTAGATAAACAGGCATGGTAGATCACGATTTAGACATCTTATTGCTCAAGAATCGATTTACAATTGAATTCTTCTAAAACTCAAAAAACAAAGTTACAAATTTTAGTTACAACAAGACGCCTGTTCTGGCGTTAACTCCGGCGCACGTGCCAGTCTTCAATATAGAGCTTCTGAACATAAACAATACAGTTCATATTCGCATTTAGATGCCTTGCGAACCTAAATGTTCGATCGCGAAATTCAGAAGCACGTCGTACCTTAAAAAGTATAGAAGTTAAATCGTTCAAGAATGTAAATAAACGGTATGATACATTCGCTTTGTCTTACACTTTGCCTTTGGAATTCGCGCTTATATAGTTATATTAAATCTTCAATCCTGTGCAAACTACGACGAGTCAAAGCGCCCATACACGACCACATCATCTTGTTAAACGGCGAAATAGCAGCGATATTACTAAAATAGGACCAGAATCTACACGTATTAAATATATTCTTACCCCAATTCAGTCTAAACTTAATCGAAAAGCATGAAAAGAACGGTTTATTTGTTCCTCTTGGAGGAATTGCCGTATCATGCGAGCGAAATCGAATCGCGCATCGGAAAATTAGCCAAAGCTGTGCACCACAACTCTTGGGAGACAAGACTGGGACATAGATAAATCCAATCACATACACATTTTAAATACTAGAATGTTTCGCGCCATTACAAACTTGCGACGACGAAAAATAATAAAAAAAAATAAAAACAAAACAAAAACAAAACAAAACCGAGGCGAATTTTCAACTCCGTCGCTGACGCTGGAGTAATTACAGGCAAAAGTGTACTGTTTTGATCGCGAAACTAATTGTTTTGGCCCCTCCCAGAAAACGTTTGAGTGTCAAAACAAATGTGTTTCCGTTTAGAAACTCGTTAATTCAATTCTCTAATTTCCCTCGGTGAATTTTCTTTAAATTTCGTACATTAAATAAGATGCTTTCATTAATCAAAATACAAAATTTAATTTTTTTAATACCAAATTTGAACCAATTTGTTCCTTACAGAAAAACGTATCGATTCATTTTGTTTTATAAATGGGGAAAAGAACGAGAAAAGCATTGCTCTTAGATTGCGGAATTTTAAAAAAAGATTCACCGAGGGAAATCTTCAAAATAGCAAAAAGAATGCAAAAAGTGTTTCGTTGCATACGCGCTGTTATCATGGCAACAGAGTTAAGTGTGAAGTTGTTTATTATCATATTAATGCTCCTGGTTTGAATTTGAAGCGTGTTTAATTCCACTCGAAATTAAGACCGTTCAAACCTCTAGAATTTTTATGCTTGAAACAGTTGTAGCCAAAATATATTCTTGCATGTGCTTTTAAATTCTTGCGCTATAAAACAAGCAATGTTTTTAACGTTAGGCACCGCTGATATTAAACAACCATATAACAATCCATATAAAAATCACGGGTCCCAAGCAATATGAGTTCTCTTTAAAAACATGTTCCAAACAATTAGACAAACAACGTCGATATTCTTTTATTGAAAAATAACAAAATATCACTGTTTTAGGCGAGTGCGCTGTTTGGCAAGGTGTACTTTTCTGTACTGTTAAAAAAAATTGAAATTCTTGGCTAAATATACAGTTTATATCATAGTTCATGTCCAATTTATATCATTTTGTTTATGTTTTAGGCGACAATGTTAATGTTAAAAAAGAGCACGAATTTGTAGATAGGCTAATTCTACAAGTTCCTCTTGGTTTGCCAAAAGAATCCGTAGGAACGATTGAAAAGAGAAATAGAAATAGATCAACCGGTAAGAAAGATGTGCATTTAGAAAATAATTACTCCAAAAACGTTGCAACGATTGAAAAAACGAAAAGAAAAATATTAACCGATGATAAAGATGCGCAAAATATATCAAACGGCGATAAAGATGTGCATGAAGTGGAAGATCAAGTTAAAGACTCGCAGAGCTCAAAAGATAGTGATGAAACACTGGATCTATCAACGGTGGAGATTATTAAATCCGAAGCCGAAAATCCTAAAATGATGGTGGATCAGCGGCTGTCATCGCCGACACAAAACAAAGTCGAACAATTGGTGAACGATTCTAAACAGACTCTGAAGAATTTGGTCGAATATAATCATAAATTTACGTAAGTTTATGCATACTGTATTATACCGCCATACAACAATCCACCTTTTCTATCCATAGATATCTTTATTCAACAAGTTGACGGCGGTTTTTCCGCAGAAATTTGAGCATTTTGTTCCCATGGCTACAAGACAAATGGTCTGTGCATCACTGAAGCATTGCAGATTATTCATTTCCTTTTTATCATTAGGAAAACAATTAGAGATCCTTATGACGGAGATAACAAGACGGAAGGTAAAAGCCGCGATGATGAAAACAAAGAGTCGTAAGTAAATGTGTGATACAAACAGACAAGTAAAAGTTCAACAAATATGTTCTTTAAAGTTTTGCATGGTGTTGAAAAGGAAGGAAGACATCTTAATAAAATTTGGTCCTGTTTGTTCTATAGTTCTCGCATGCTTAATTATCGGTTACTGAAATTGTAAACAAATTTGCTGATTGGTTAAAAGCGAAGTTCCTCCTTTTTTTACAGTGATCGTATGGTAGCTAGCATACCCGCGTAAGAATTGATCGCGCTGTTCCCTTTTTTCGCTTTATAGCATAGCTCGACCATCTCTTCAAGCCGGCCCCGCTTCTGGTTTTACCTAGACTAGTAAAATGTATATCTTTACCAAACAGTGCATGCATGGAGTATTACTATAGTAAATATTTGATTTGATCTCTTGTTTCGAGAGACAAGACCATGCACATATTTGTTGACAATTACTGTACGTACTATCCTTACAAATAATAAAAAATATTTATTTACGCATTATCTAGGCTTGAGAAGCAAAAGAAATTTCTAGCTCCTCAGAAAAGTGCGGAACAGCTAGGATGGAATTCGAGCGATGAAGATGTGAAAATAAATGGAGACGAGGTTTCAAATAAGTATCGAGCGAAAACATGTGAGTTGCTGAAGTCTTCCTATTCCGGCAAAAATTCAATATATTTTTATTCCAATAATCATGTCATATAGAAATGATTGTGTGTTTGAACGCAGATAACCGAAATACGATGTTTCGTAAAAAAAATGTTTGGTTGAAAAATTCCGTCTATTATTATTTAATCTTTTTTAAAAGCAACGGTAGCCCTTCAGCATAAATAGGAGCTGTTTTCCAAGGGGCCGTTGCACAATACATATTTACAAAACAAATTAAATTATTAATTATAGTATTTATATATAGTTACAAATTACACATTACACATTACTCATAACACAGCACACCACATATATTAAAACTTAAGTATTATGCTGAGATCTGTCCCGAAGCAAGGTTTTAAGTGCATTTAATGACAAACAATTGCCTTTCAGTTCTACTGGTACGGTAATTCATTCCAAACCTTTACCCCTGGATAGCTAATGCTTTTTTTCAAAAAGATTGTTTTAGGCTTTTCTAATTTGTTATCATTATTATTATTTCGTAAATTATGGTTGTCATTGTTTTTGAAAACGAACAGGCTAGATATATTTTCTAAGTATTCACCATTCGTAACTTAATTTATACATGCATGAATACCGCCTTATTATTACCACATCTTTCTATCAATGGTTGCTAGCCTAATTCTTTTAATATATCTCTAGATCTGACATCATATGATTTCCCAGTTATTACTCTTGCAGCTCTGTTTTGTAATTTTTATGAGTTTTTGTAGCGAACATGCATTTCCTATATCCCAAACAAGACTGCAATAGTCAAAGTGGGGCAAGACTATTGAATTGTATGGTGGAAAACCAATTTTATTTTTCCCTGATAAACATATCCCGAATCTATTCTTGGGCAAAATTAAACCATCCCACTAACAATAGATTACACGCATTGTCCGCCTCGTTTTCAAGTTAAGGTTTTGTGTGCGCAAAAAATGGGATGTATCAAATGCTATATGTACGACTAAAAAACATTAGACGAAAAGTTAGGATTTTTTCGACCCGTGACAATCCGTTATCGTTTCCGTCTTTAGATTTCACGGATAAAAAACATCTGCTATCTTGTTTTATTATGAGATATAGATATTACGTTCGAAGCTTTGGCATTACAAACAGAGATCTTAATTTCAATGTCTTACGTATTTTTATTTAGTAACCAAGAGACGTACTGCTTGGACAGAAGACGAAATCGGATTTATAAGAGATGGCATACGCCTATTTGATGTAGGTGACTGGGCAGCAATCCGCGATCATTTTCCTTTTCAAGATTGTCATAAAAATAGTGTCGCAATCAAGGATAAATACCGAAATATGAAAAAGAATGGTGAAACGTTTGGAGAGAAACCTAAAAAAGAACGTAAGAAGGGCGGCAAAAAGGCGCGTGCGCCCAAATAGGGATATGCGACGTCTTTTATTCGCTATTCTAACGTTCATGTCTAATTCTGCCTATTAACTGTATATAACCACTTTAGTGTATTAAAATAGCTTAGCGTGTTAGGGTGGGATTTGACCCTACACCATTTTGTTTATATAACATTTTAAGACATTAGGCCCTTATACCTCCGGTATGTATAGACGCAGCACGGTTAATTTCATATTGTAAAAAATGCGATTCATTGCGATATTATTCCGTGAGAGGCAATAAATAGTGTTTTTACAGTCAATGAACCCTGGAAATATGCATTGTAAGCCCGGGTATACGAGGCTGACATGTTAGTATAGGCGATATAGCATAGTTTCGAGTGCAATTATGGATAAGTGCAGCTAGTCTAACCCTTACCTACACTGCAGCCCTTGTCAACAAAGGGGACTTGCCATGTGACAAGTCAGTTCAGTCGAGATTTTCCAAACTCAGTTCACTCCGTGTTTTACAATTCTGTCAACAGTCCAGATCACGTTTTGTATATGTACTTTTGTATTACGGCTCGAAGTGTGTAACTAATAGCCCACTTGCGAGTTGCGTGAAATGTAGGAGAATGGTGCCGAAACTCAAAATGAAAACGAGGCTGAGTGCGAAATTTAAAAATTAAAAAACAAGCACTAAAAATTGTGTCCATAATCTTTATTTCGATATCGAACATTGATATCTATCAATGATCAGTTACTAGAGTAGCGATTATCCGGCTATCCGGTTATCCGTTACCCGTGTTTTCTACCATGTCCAAAATTAAGGGTTTTCCCGCCGCCGGAATAGGAAATCATGGGATCTGATTGGTCTGCAGGCAACAACAACCGCCCTGATTCGCTGACTGAAGGCAAAATTCCTGTTGGTTGCCTTTTCAAGCCTCCAGGAAGTATTCCTAGTAATTCCTAGTATTTTGAAAGTCTGTTGTCAGGGTAAACAAACAATGGCACAATTTGAAATCACATTTTCAATTCACAACATAACATTGCGTTTGTAAAACCATAACGTCAAAGTCAAACGTATTTGGTGTGTATACATGAATGAAGAGGCGCATTCATATTCCTTAAAGTTGTAGTTTCGTTAACCTAAATTTTAGCGGAGAGCTACCAAGAAGAAGCGGCAGAAATCGATATTTTAAAACAACCACCGAGCTTGTATGGCGACGATTAAGTCCGCTTGTTCATCTGAAATGTTAGAAGAAATTAATGCACTGGAAGACGCCGGACAAACCCTTGACAACATCAGACAGGCTAAAGAGTTCTACACCGCAGCTGTTAAGATCGACAGAAATATTTCAGTGAATAAAGATACATTTGGTCGTGTTGTTGGTAATCTTTATAGATTAAGCTTGGCTTGTGAAGCACTCGGAGAGCAAGATGAAGCTTTAAAGAATTTAAACAAAGCGAAGGACTATGCGCAAGTTGGAGGTTTATATAAGAATTGGCTAATGTTAGTTGTGTTACTCAAGCTAAGCCGGAAATATACGGAGTTCAGTGAGATGGGATCCGTTGGCGTTGACAAATCAGAGATGTATTTGCGAGAAGCTAAATGGGTTGCCAAAAATTTATTTGAAGACGATGTCTCGGCATTAGTCCGGACAATCAAAGCCGCAGGAAAAGATCTATCAAAGCAAATATCTCCTCTTCTCAAACTTGGTGAATGGTACTTGGATAAGGCCACGACAACCGTCAATGGCGCTGATTTTGGAAAGGCCAACGCACTTTTTAACGCTGCTCTCGTAAGATCGAGAACTCTGAACCACGAAATAGATGCAGACCAAATACTCGGAAGAATCGTTGAAACGTATTGCGAATTTTTGTACGCATTTGCAAAAGACGATGGCAAAAGCAACAAAGACAAGATTCGTAGTGAGATTGATTTTCACAAGCAGTGGATTGCTCGTGAACGGAGAATATTCAAAGAACGGATTGATGAAATTGATCGCGACCATACTCGTGAAGCTGAACGAGATTATGAGGTATTAAAACTGCTTTCCGCTAGACGGAGTTTTTTTATTGAACGAAATTTTTAGCATAAGCTATAGTTTCTTTTAATTGCGAGAATTCGACTGTAGAGGATTCATTTGATCGATCGGTAACAATTGTGGAAAACCGCTATTAAAGATGTATTGCTCGTATATAATTAGTGGCATATTTACTGATATATTCGTGTTACTCAGCACATCCTTAAAAGATCCATTTCAATTTTCAAAGAAATTAATATTGCATGATATGATATGTTTACATATTACCATAATTCGTATTTACATCATTCAAATTAAAGAAAGACAAGACGCCTGTTCTGGCGTTAACTCCGGCGCACGTGCCAGTCTTTAATATAGAGCTTCTGAACATAAACAATACAGTTCATATTCGCATTTAGATACCTTAATAGCGAACCTATAAATGTTCGATCGCGAAATTCAGAAGCACATCGTACTTTCAAAAGTATAGAAGTTCAATTGTTCAAAAATGTAAATAAACCGCATGATACATTCGCTTTGTCTTACACTTTGCCTTTGGAATTTGCGCTTATATAGTTATATTAACTGTGCAAACTACGACGGGTCAACGCGCCCATACACGACCACATCATCTTGTTAAACGGCGAAATAGCAGTGATATTATTCAAATAGGACCAGAATCAACATGTATTAATATATTCTTACCCCAATTCAATCTAAACTTAATCGAAAAGCATGAAAAGAACGGTTTATTTGTTTAGGAATTGCCGTATCATGCGAGCGAAATCGAATCGCGCATCGGAAAATTAGCCAAACCCGTGCACCACAACTCTTGGGAGACAAGACTGGGACATAGATAAATCCAATCGCATACACATTTTAAACACTAGTATGTTTCGCGAAAACCGAGGCGAATTTTCAACTCCGTCGCTGACGCCGGAGTAATAAAGAAGTGTCGATTGTAGATGAAAGTGCTTCTAATTATAGTTTTCACGAATGTAATAAACTGTACTACGGCTCCATGCATTTCAAAAGATTTGAGCATGTATTCAAATGTATTATATTCATATTAAAACTTCATATCTATATTCAGGTCCATGCAGAAAAGATGTATGAGGTTTTTCGAGACATTCAAGATATGTTCATCAGATTTGTATCAATGTTAGCTAAAGAGTGCGAGGATAGTCTTGGCAAACCACCATGTGACTACACATGTATTGCCCTCGGCTCGGTGGCACGTATGGAAGCAACGCCTTTTTCAGACTTGGAATTTGCAATTCTGTACTCCGACTCAAATATCGGGGACAAAATAAACTACTTCCGAGTATTAAGTTATTTTCTTCACTTAAAAGTTATAAATCTTGGAGAAACTATCCTACCAGCTGTGGCGATCGAACAGCTCAATGATTTTCAGTCATTAGACCCAAATGACGATTGGTTCTTCGACTCGGAAACGCCTCGAGGAATTTCATTTGATGGAGCAATGCCGTGGGCATCCAAAACTCCGTTAGGAAGAATGGGGACAGGAAATAAACCAGCTTTAGAGTTGATCAGAACACCAAAACAAATGGCGGAGTTGCAAGATGAAGAAATTGCTATAAAAGAAGGTTATCATTTAGGTAAGATTTTTTTGTGGTTTCTGCTATTAAGTAATGGTTTAAAATCGATTCAAGTTTCAATCGATTAAAGTTTCAGTACAAAATCTTTAGAGACAAAGAAAAAACCCGCTTCAAATGTTATTTTATTCTGTAATTTGTTTTATACTTTAATATAGTGTGTATTTTTAATATCAAAATTCAAATTACACTTACAAAAACACTCTTTTTGACGTTAAAGCAAAGGTGTAATAGCCTTTCACAGGTTTATGCGTTTGTATAAAAAGCTGAAAATTACACAAAGCTGAAAATTAAACAAATAAACGGCATACAAAGCTGAAAATTATACAAATACAGCTCATCCTTACCGCGAAGCAAATACGAAATAAACAAAGTATATATACACGTACCCTTTGAAAGCATTTATAATTATAAGCTTGCAGATTATGAATTATTCCTCTTACACGGCTTTGTCTTGATTGCATCCCTGTTCATCTTTGCTATCTGTCATGCTTCATATATCTTGTTTCTTCTCGTTTTATATTGCACAAAGTTTATGAAACGCTTTCACAAAAAAGGTTTACGAAATGACAGTTAAATTGCTGCCGTTCTCATTGAAATACAAACTTTCTGTCTTAGCCAATCGGAACGTTTGTTGATTACCAGTCGTGACTCGCGCATGCGCATAACTTACAAAATCACCCAACGTCGACCATCCATCACATAGAATTTGGACAACTTTGGATTCAGCTATGTTCTCCCGGGTTTCGGGTGTAATTCCTAATCTCCGAGCGGAATTAGTACCCTCGCAGGCACTCCGCGCCCGCTCGATCGGGGATTAGGAAAGCGATATCACAGAATACCTAACTGAAGTAGAACTCCTGTACTTTTTTCGTAAGTGTGATTCGTCATGATTCGTCACTTAGCAAGTGCATTTTTTTGAGGTAGTCACCCCCGTGCCAATACTAAAAATGGGCTGATTTTAGACATTGGCAGGAGGGTGACAGCCTCAAAAAAATGCACTTGCTAAGTGACGAATCATGACGAATCACACTTACGAAAAAATAGTATAGAGTTCTACTTCTGTTAGGTATTCTGTGGCGATATTAAGTGCATAGCAGTGAACTCTAATAAATAACTGGAACAATACTTCCTCATTGTTTTTGTGGAGCCAAAATTCACGGGACTATTTATTAGGGTTCACTGGGGCATAGCTACTCACTCACGCTACATACTTTAGAACGGCATACTGGAAAAGCAGGACCCAGCACCCGGTATTGGGGACTCTTAGGACCGCGAGGCCCCAGGGCCATGAGGACCCTTCGAGCGTAAAACCACGGGGACCCAGGACCATGAGGAGCCTGTGTACGTAGGACGACGGGGACCATACAAAAATTTTAATTTTATATGAAAATTTCTGTCGTGTATTTAAATATGTATTTTAGATATTTTAAATATCTCATAGTTCTGGGTCCTGGTGGTTTTACATACACATGCAGGGTTCTCAAAATCTTGGGTCCCGGTGGTCCTACGTACACATGCAAGGTTCTCATAGTCCTGGGTCCCGGTGGTCCTACGTACACATGCAAGGTTCTCATAGTCCTGGGTCCCGGTGGTCCTACGTACACATGCAGGGTTCTAATAGTCCTGGGTCCCGGTGGTCCTACGTACACATGCAGGGTTCTAATAGTCCTGGGTCCCGGTGGTCCTACGTACACATGCAGGGTTCTCATAGTCCTGGGTCCCGGTGGTCCTACGTACACATGCAGGGTTCTCATAGTCCTGGGTCCCGGTGGTCCTACGTACACATGCAGGGTTCTCATAGTCCTTGGTCCCTGTGGTCCTACGTACACATGCACGGTTTATCAAAGTTTTGGGTCCCGGTGGTCCTACGTACACATGCAGGGTTCTAATAGTCCTGGGTCCCGGTGGTCCTACGTACACATACGGGTTCTCATGGTCTTGGTCCCCGTTGTCCTACGTACACATGCAAGGTTCTCATAGTGCTGGGTTGCGGCGGTCCTACGTACACATGCAGGGTTCTCATAGTGCTGGGTCCCGGCGGTCCTACGTACACATGCAGGGTTCTCATGGTCTTGGTCCCCGTTGTCCTACGTACACATGCAAGGTTCTCATAGTGCTGGGTTGCGGCGGTCCTACGTACACATGCAAGGTTCTCATAGTGCTGGGTCCCGGCGGTCCTACGTACACATGCAGGATTCTCATAGTGCTGGTTTGCGGCGGTCCTATACGTACACATGCAGGGTTCTCATAGTGCTGGGTCCCGGCGGTCCTACGTACACATGTAGAGTTCTCATGGTCCTCGGTCCCCGTTGTCCTACGCTCAAAGGGTGCTCATGGTTCTTGGGTCCTGCTTTTCCGGTATGCCCTCCAGGACTCGTACATATGTAGGTATTATGGGCCTTACTCCTAGACGCCAGATAACATCCCCTAACATCCTTTTTTAACGCCAAATTTAACTCGGCATGCAGGTATAAAGACTTTTTTTATTTCACAGCTGATATAATGTCGAGGGCCGCATTTCTTTACGGGAGCCAACTTCTACTAGACGAATACAATGAATGTGTAGCTGAAAAATTAAACACAAAATCAAGTGAATCAACTTCAGATGTAGGCATCATCCGAGGATTTCAACAAATGATGAACGACATACGAGCCTTTTATCCCTATCATTCATACCTCGGGTCATATTCAGCTGCAGGCGGTCTCTTCGATGCTAAGAAACAGTTCTATCGTCTCATCTCTTTGCTTCTTGCCGACCTGGGTTTGATCCTTAATATTAGAGTTCCATCGTCATGGCGAATCATTTTGGAGTTGCAGAATCGAGGAATTATTGGCGAATCCGAGGGCGCTAGCATCAAAGTATGTCTATCCATTGCGAACGAAATGAGACTTAAAACTTACTTTGCTAATAATGGACAGAAAGATCTATTTTCCCCTGTTCCTAAGCTGGCTAAGCATACAACCACCACAGAACAATCCGCCGTTCTTCCTATCTTCCGTGATTACGATGAAAATGTTGTTGTCCGTCTATTGAGTATCACTAATGATATGGGTAAACGCTGTCGTAACTTTGGCCTAAAGTTCTTCGAACATGGCGAAATTGACACAAGAACTCTTCAGAAATCAACTTATCCATCATCGATGGCCATGCTCAGAGGAAGCCTTTATTCTAGGCTACAAAATTTTCAAAAAGCTTTAGAGTCGTATGAATTGGAACCTGAGGATAGTCCAGACTACTCGATGTGTCTTAACGATAAAGGAGTTATCTATAACGAGTTTGGGGAAAGCGAAAAGAGCGTTGAATGTTTTGAAAACGCCCTAAAAGTGCATTACCAGAATGAAAAGAACTCAAATCTGAACGTGTGTTCAACAACTAATAATGTAGCGTTGATACTATTACGGATGGGAAAGCTTGACAAAGCGAGAATTGTTTTAGAAGATGCGATTAAGAAATATGACGAAAGCTCGTATACTATTGACCTCTGTGCTTTGATGATAAATCTCGGAAGAACCTACCATGAGCGTGGAGACAGGACGTCAGCAGTTGAAATTTACGAGAGAGTTGAACAGATGCATAACAAATTAACGAACATCCCAGATATGCATGTGATTCATCTTTGCCTTTACCTTTCCATGTCATTAACAGAACCTGATCAGCATGAACGGTCAATAAAGTATATGGAACGAGCGTTACGACTTGGTCATAAAGTATTTGGTGAATATAGCCTCAGCGTAAAGTTGGCGGAAATCTATGTATTTGCAGGCATTGCTTACGAGCGTTGCAATCGAAATGATGATGCTCTGACTTTCTTCCAGAGAAGTTTGGAATTACTTCAACATCTCTTTGGCGATAACCCGCACTTAGGTAGATCGATCGTATTTTTTCTTGCAACTTGGAATGCACTTTAACTTTTGAGAGATGTAAATTGTAGGCAACTGCGAAAATCCCCCACCTAACGATTCCTTAGAAATTCCATGCATGCATGCATGCCTCTAGTAACTACAATGTGATAATAATGGTGATTTTTCATAATATATAATATATACATTAATATATTAATGAGTATAGTCAACTTTTTATATTTTCAGGTAAAGTGTTTTGTCTCAATCACCTGGGAAATTTTTTCTATGGACGAGGTCAATTAATAAAAGCGGCAGAGAACTTTGAAGATGCTTTGAAACAGGAAAGGGCTCTCTTCCAGGGAAAGCCTTGTATTACGATTTCGAAAACACTAAATAGCTTAGGAAAGACACTAAAACGCTCCGAAAAGTTCAACGAATCACTTCAGTACTTTCAAGAAGCAAAGGATATAATGGAGATGACCTTAGGACCAGATTACGAGCAACCTCTCACATCAATTATCCTGAGTAACATGGGAGCAATTTATAAAGAACTTGGCGACCTCAGGAAAGCTAAAGAATACTGCACCAAAGCTCTCGATGTGGATAGAAAAAATTCTAAAACTATGGAAACGGTTTCTCGTGTTGTATCCACTCTTTTCTACCTGGGCGAGATATGTGAAAACCTTGGAGAGCAGGATAAGGCTTTAAAGCATTTTGAAGAAGCAAGAGAGCTCCTATATGTTTCTAGGTCTAAAGATCGTCCAGCTTTGGTGAGAATATTACTCAAGTTGAGTACGAAGTATTTTGAGATTGGGTCCATTGCGATAAGTATGTTGTGTGTTAAAGAGGCTTTACAGATAGCCAAAAGCTACCCTGAAGACGATTCACGTCCTCCTATTATTTTAGAAGTTTTCAAGTTGCTCAAACAAAGTACCCAACGTCAGTAACATCTCAGACCAAGCGAAGATAGGTTTTTTATAATAATCGCATTAATAATGGCCTATTACTATCAGATAAGATAATAACTTTAACTATAACCAGAAATCCAGTTTGTCCCATGCACGATTTATAAAATTTAGCTAACTATAATATATTATAAATTTTATTTGAAATATTTTGTCCCAGATTAGCAGGGCCTCTTTTAACATATAGACTGGGGGGCAGAGGCTCTCCTAGCCCCATCCCCGTAAAAATCTATTTAAAAATATTGATAAAAACTAAAGATTGCTTTTGTTCATGACAATGTATTAGCATTTTTGCAATCTGTAAGCCTAAATTTGCTTAATGTACAAGCAGTGGTGTAGGCAGCCTGAAGATTTTGTCTCGCTATGTAAATTTCGAGTTATTATAATTATTCATGTCTTTAGAAATCTATTGTTTTCACAGTCAGTGAACACGAAAATATTAGCATAGCGGGACAAATCGACAGGCTGGCTACGAACAAATCATGTCCGCATTTCTTTATCAGTTCAATTGGTTTAATATATTTTTGATTCAAAATTGCGATTTCGAGCAATAAGATGTGCGAAAAATTACACGAATTGTTTTTAAGACTTGCTAAATCCCAATAAATCTGCTGTATATTTAGGGCCCAATTTTTATAATTATGTAATAATACCCACTATGGGTAGTAATAATTTTACAATAGGTAAATTAACTTTATGTAATTTGATTGGACGTACGATTTTCTGCACATGTGAAAATTGTCGTATGTCATTTTGGCGGCATTTTTTTTAAGATTGCGTCGAAATATAGGAGTGTCCAGACATTTTCACATTCGGCACATAATAGCTTTCGCAAAGAAAATCTAACTTCTATTGAACAAAATTACGAAAACAGTAATAAATATGTTTTGATGCATATTATGAAAATCACTAAACTGCCGACACTGCCGCTATAAATTTCAAAGACGTTTTATCATTCCAAACTCAAATTCGGATAATTAATGTGATCAAATCGGTTCATCGATTTGGTCACATGACTTCACGATATCTGAATCTAAATTTGCACGCCGTTAAAATAATATCCCGAACTAACTTTATATCTACGTGCAATTGCTTGAAAGCTTGCTGTAAAATATCCCGTTGTAACATCTCCACCTTCAGATGAAATTGTGGCTGCAATAAGAGAGCGTAAGTCCTTCTCCACGGCCTTTCCTTCGTTGTATGTCATCCAAATGCATTTTCGTAGAACAATTCATAATTAGAACAAATGAATGAATAACAATAACATGTAGTCATGTGACGAAAACAATGAACAGATTTGATCACATGACTTAACCGAATTTGAAATAAATTTAAATGATGAAACGTCTTCTTCCGTTTGAAAATAGTAGCGGCAGTGTCGGCAGTTTAGTGATTTTCGTAATAAAATTTCGATTTTTGTTGCTCGCTGTGTTTTTGTATATTACTGAAAAGCGCGTGTCGTTGTCAAATCGATCTCCATACACATTTAGTAAACAAATTATTTCATGGTTGTCTTGTTTGTACGAACTCGTTGGGAAGGATTGAAAGCTCACTCGTTCGTTTTGCGATCCTTCGTAACTCATGCATAAAAGTCGTACGCACTCGCCAACCATGAAGTAATCTCAAGTGTCACTGGTTAGGGGAGAATGAGCTTTGTTTGATTTCAACCCCTCATATATAACCAATAAATGACTTGAGAACAGTAACTTTCAAGGTTTAACTTATTTGGTTTTTTATTCTTGCAACTGCAATGAAATGAAATGGTTTAAGCAGTTACTAAAATGTAATCGATTTAATTTACTTTGATTAAAGGGTTAGATTAAAATTCCTGTTTATATTTTTTTGAGTGAAGAAATGAATATGTTCGGCAGCTTCTGTCATACTGATTTTTATTTCTATCATAATGTGGATGTAAAGATTCAAAATGCGGGTAGTTTGAAATTCTTGAAAATTTTGAATCCGGTGCCTTAACATCATAGGCATAGCCAGGCTTCTAGAAAGTTTTGCATAGTGTGTTTATTCATATAAAATTATTCAGTTATGCCCGACGAAATTCTTTTGTAATACTATAATAGCTTACTATTATACATATTACATCAGTACTTATTGAATTGCATTGGCTACCAGTCCAATATCGTGTCCAATTCAAAATTATCCTTCATGTGTATAAGGCTATGAACGACCTTGCTCCACCGTATTTGAATGAACTCTTGCATTATCATACTTCGCAGCGTTCACTTCGATCAAATAACTGTGAATTGCTCCAGATTCCCTGTTCTAGACTGAAGACATTTGGGGATAGATCATTTTGTGTCGCGGGACCACGATTGTGGAACGAATTACCCATTAATCTTCGGATGTGCAAATCAATTACTGTTTTTAAAAAAAATCTTAAAACATATCTTTTTAATTTTTTTTAAATAATGTATGACGTTGGTCTTAACATTTATGTTATTAGGTTTGTTAATGATTTAGATATTTTAATAGTTTTAATATTAGATTTTACTGTAAAGCGCCTAGAACAGAACACAATTTGGTTGTGCGCTATAGAAATACTTTTATTATTATTATTATTATTATTACTATATACTGAGAAATTCGCTGCGCAGAATATATGAATAAACACCCCCCCCTGATTATCGTTCTAGCCCCACCACCCTTGAAAAGGTTCCAAATCAGCTCAGTCGGGGCTATAAAAAACTAGTCCACTTACGAAACAAAAACTAGTCCACTTACAAAAACGAGTCGTGTTTTACAATTCCAGGCCCCTTCCAGATCACGTTGATAGCATTCCCTCATAATTTACGGGTTTTCCGATCCCACTGAAATATACGAAATCATTCGATCGGATTGCTTTACAGGCAACAACAAAATCGGTCCTGATTCCGCAAACTGAAAACGAAATTCTTGCATGTTACCTTCTCAAGCTTCCCGGAAATATTCCCAGTATTTTGAAAACATCTCTTGTCTGTGTCACAATGGCTCAATTTCATTTTCAAATCACACCATTTCATTTCGTCAGCATCAAAATCAAACGCATTTCCCCAAAACATGCAAAGCGATAGTAGAAGGCGTTCATATACATGAATGAAAAAATTTCGTAAAGTAGCTTTGTTGATTTAACTTTCAACGGAGAGCTACCAAGAATAAGGGACAAAAATCGATATTTTAAAACAACCACCGAGCTTGTATGGCGACGATTAAGTCCGCACGTTCATCTAAAATGTTAGAAGAAGTTAATGCACTGGAAGACGCTGGACAAAACCTTGACAACATCAGAGAGGCTAAAGAGTTCTACACCGAAGCTGTTAAGATCGACAGAAATATTTCAGTGAATAAAGATACATTTGGTCGTGTTGTTGGTAATCTTTATAGATTAAGCTTGGCTTGTGAAGCACTCGGAGAGCAAGATGAAGCTTTAAAGAATTTAAACAAAGCGAAGGACTATGCGAAAGTTGGAGGTTTATATAAAAATTGGCTAATGTTAGTTGTATTACTCAAGTTAAGCCGGAAATATGCTGAGTTCAGTGAGATAGAATCCGTTGGCGTTGCCAAATCAGAGATGTATTTGCGAGAAGCCAAATGGGTCGCCAAAAATTTATTTGAAGACGATGTTTCTGCTGTAGTCCAGACAATCAAAGCCGCAGGAAAAGATCTGTCAAAGCAAATACCTCCTCTTCTCAAACTAGGTGAATGGTACTTGGATAAGGCCATGACAACCGTCAATGGCGCTGATTTTGGAAAGGCCGACGCCCTTTTCAACGCTGCTCTCGTAAGATCGAGATCTCTGAACCACGAAATAGATGAAGACCAAATACTCGAAAGAATTGTTGAAACGTATTGCGAATTTTTGTACGCATTTGCAAAAGATGATGGTAAAATCAACAAAAACAAGATTCGTAGTGAGATTGATTTTCATAAGCAGTGGATTGCTCGTGAACGGAGAATATTCAAAGAACGGATTGATGAAATTGATCGCGACCATACTCGTGAAGCTGAACAAGATTATGAGGTATTACAATCGGTTTGAACAAACTTTACACGCTTTAGTTCCGAACCATATTTGGAAATTGAAAAGTGGCCGCGGAAATTGCGAATTACGTTAGAAAGTTCAAACCAAATTTCCGAACTTCGATTTGAAATTCGGAAATTCATTTCGCCATTTCTAGCAAACATGTCGAAGAAAAAAACTACGTCTGACGACGAATTATTACAATGGCTGGATTGTTTTCGCGCCCAACTAGATGTTAAAGAGTCAACCATGATTTACAAAACATTGAAAGAAAATAAATTTAAAACGCGAGTGCAATTGACCATAACAAAAAATATGGCGAATGTACATTTTAAATTTTGGACATGCCGCCATCTTTTTCGTTACGGTCAATTAAAGTTGATAGCAGGGAGCGAATTGGAAATAATGTTCAATGGCGAAAAGGCGCTGTCTTTAGGCGCTCAAGCTTTATTGCAATACCAAGTAAATGTGTTGAACGAATTTGTTTCAGTATACCGTATTCAGTATATTCGCATCCGTTGTCACAGCGCGGATATCATTTCCTCCCGTTTTTGGGTAAACGATTTTCATTAACGAAATGATTTACGATAATTGAAAGTTAATAGGTTCATGCCGATAAGTTCGTTACGGCGAATGATTTACAATATTTGAATTTTTTTGTTAAGAATAAGCCTTTTCCAAACGGGGACGTAGAACTCCGTTCATTCCATAGGTATATTATTATTTTTCTGGTTTGAATCGAAACCGCTTGGCCGTGATGTCTCCCGTACACAAAATGAATTTCCGAATTTCAAATCGAAGTTCGGAAATTTGTTTTCAACTTCCTAACGTAAATCGCAATTTCTCCGCCCACTTGTCAATTTCCAAATATGGTTCGGAACTAAAGCATGTAAAGTTTGTTGAAACCAACGGGTAAGGGCAAAACGCGGAAGCGGAATTGCGGAAACAGCAAAAGGTGAAACGCGGAAGCGAAAAACAAGGTAAACGCGGAAAAGAGGGTAAAACGCGGAGAAAAAAAAAGTAAAACGCGGAAAGGAGGGCAAAACGCGGAAAAAGAGGGTAAAACGCGGAAAAAGGAGTAAAACGCGAAAAAGCGCTTGCCGTGCGGCGTGCGTGAACCTTAAACAAGGTTTGAGATATATCGAGAATTACATATATACTCGATTTACATGCAAGTCATATGCTACAAATGCGAGCCCGAGGTAGCGAGCTTTGTTTTGTTGTTTTAACGAAGAAAATTTTCAGATGATTTTTGTAATTCATCTTCTTATTTACTGCTGTGAGATGGTTCGTTGTTAAATCAGGAGGTGAGTAATGTGTTATTACTTAAGGTAGCTCGATACAGGTTTCAAAAATTCCATCGTTCATCACTTTGACACGTTCAAACAACGCATTTTTGTGATTTATTCAAGAGATATTCGGGTTTTTTATATATCTTGATGTTTCTACTTTTGAATCGTATTAGTTTTAGTAACAAATCGTCCGTTGCTATGGCAACATACGTGTACAAAATTCACTCCAAAATCACCAATTGCATCGGATAGTTGGAAAACAAGCACGGTGACCCCCAATTTTTTTTCGTGCATTATTTTGCTTGGAAGAAAAATTAACAATTAGCAAAATATAAAAAAATTCTATAATAGCAAAAAAAATTATTGACAAAAATATCATTTTTACATTTTTCAAAAATTTGGCATTATAGTATTTTTTTATATTTTGCCAATTGTTAGTTTTTCTTCCAAGTAGAATAATGCACGAAAAAAAATTGGGGGTCACCGCGCTTGTTTTCCAACTATCCGAGGCAATTGGTCATTTTGCAGTGAATTTTGTACACGTATGTTGCCATAGCAACGGACGATCTGTTACTAAAACTAATACGATTCAAAAGTAGAGAATTCAAAATATATAAAAACCCGAATATCTCTGGAATAAATCACAAAAATGCGTTGTTTGAACGTGTCAAAGTGATGAACAATGGAATTCTTGAAAACTGTATCGAGCCACCTTAATCACGCTTTTAACGGCATGAAATATTTTATATTAGTACATATTCGCCAGCTAAGGCGACATCTCAAGCAATGACAAGCATACAGATTACAGACATATATTAGTATGTCTCAATTTTGAAGAGGAGGCACATTATATTTTGAGCCCGTCGTATGGAAATACCTTGCTGGATTCTGGAATGCCTGTCTCATGTGTCTGATCTTCTTATTTGTGGTAGACCAGGTAGAGCCCTCGAGACACAACACATACTATAACCTAGGTTGCACACAAAAAGATCAGATTATTGAGTTATTGTGATAATTGGTAGCAAACAGAACTGTTTTGAATACACTGTCAATGGTTAAGACAGTGAATACAATTTACAAATATCAATAATTACCCCATAGGAATTACATTAGTAGCCATAAGCAGCTACATATAGTGCAGTCTATTAAGACAAACAATGTAATCTACTGATATCAATACAGCCTTTGGGGGTAGAAATGGAATTAAAATAATGTTATATAGTTTCTTTGTAGGTAATGAAATATCCTATGCTACCAACATAATGCTACCAAATGCTACCCAGTTGCGAAATTCAAAAGGCTTATATGGTGAATGACAGCAAGGGTGCAAAAATGGGGTACTTTACACATCCATTGTCAGGGAATTTTGTCTGGATAAAACATCAATGACCATAAGACAAGAGAAAGTGACAGTAATGCCTAATGAAAGCGAAGTGTTTGTTCAGAAAATCCAGATTGTATGCTTAAAATTTATGACGTTTTCATCAAAGTTACTACAAAAATAAGGGCGAGGAGCCCGTACGTGATTGACTTTCTCCTCAACATTTCAAATATTGAATGTGACTATACCATAACATCCCATTATCAGGGAGTTTGGGCCTGTTTGGCTACCATAACCTCCAATTTTTTTAAACATAGTCAGTTCAATCTTAAATCTCAGCTTTATCTCATCAGTTTTTATAATTGTTATTTATTTTAAATCCAGTAATAAATTGTTATTAATATTTGTACCACTGTGATTAAGACTAAATTATGATTATGACAAGTATGTATGCTAGATATTATATTATGTGCTGCTGCTGATTCTTCATTCATTTTTTTTTGGTCAATTTTGTTCACTGATCTTTTCTAAAGTATTTTGTTTCATTAATATCACAATCAGCTTCTTGCACGAACATTTCAGAAGTTTTTTAAAAAATTTCAGGACTGAGGACTTGTCTGCATAAAATTTATTGGAGTTTTTTGGAATTAAGCATGCAGAAGTGAAGATATTTGCTTAATATTTCCGTCAAGAATTTTTCCTTCTGATAGGAACTCCTTGTAGTTATTGTTTAAATATAATAGTCTTATATTTGAGATTGATATAACATGTATTTGTTCATTTTCCTGGGAGATAGATTTTGTTAATTGGGATATTTTGTGTATTGGGTTTCCATACCTACATATGAAAAAAAAGTAAGTGGGAAGCAACCCATTGGCAGCAAAAAAGTCACTCAATGTTTTCGGTTTCACAAGAACATAAACAGAAAGTCATAACATTCTTAAACGATGTCATATACTGTTCTATAAAATTAATTATGCTATTCGTAAAAAGATAATAACTTTGCGCGTTTTACCCTGTCGCTGTTTTCCCCTAGACGGAATTTTTTGATCAAACGAAATTTTTAGCCTAATTTTTTTTCAATTGTGCGGATTCAGCTGTAGAGGATTAACTTGATCAGTTACAACTAACAATTGTGGAGAACCGGCATTAAAGATGTTTGTTATATAGGTGCTGTGTATTTTAAATGTGATTGGTTCATTTGTAGTCACATGACCTTAAATAAATGCAATGTTTCCCGCCAGAGAAACAAGTGAAAAATTGTTGCCCGCATATTGCAATTGTCATAACAAAGTTTTTTGAAATGAAATTGTCGTGTAACATGTATGTTTTTGTTCCTATAATTTTATAACAAAACACTTAATGTTCGCTACACCTCGGGAAATAGTGAGTTTTGTTTTCCCTCGAGTCTCAATGTTTTCCTCGACTTCGTCTCGGGAAACATTCAGACTCTTGGGAAAACAAAACTCCCTATTTCCCTCCGGAGCATACATTAGAGTGTATAATGTATTCGCGTTAACTGAGCATGCCCGTAAAAGATCCATTTCATTTTTTCACAGAAATTTATAATGCAGAATAGATATGATATCTTTACATATATTAGCATAATACAAGTTTGTATTTACATAATTAAAATTAACGAAAGATAAAGAAGTGTCAATTGTAAATGAAATTGATTCTAATTATAGTTTTCACGTATATGATAATTATAATAACTGTAAACCGGCTCCATACATTTCAATAGAAATATTATTCATATTAAAACTTCATATCTATATTTAGGTTCATGCAGAAAAGATGTATGAGGTTTTTCGAGACATTCAAGACATGTACATCAGCTTTGTATCAATGTTAGCTGAAGAGTGTGAGGATAGTCTTGGCAAACCACCATGTGACTACACATGTATTGCCCTCGGCTCGGTGGCACGTATGGAAGCAACGCCTTTTTCAGACTTGGAATTTGCAATTCTGTACTCCGACTCAAATATCGGGGAAAAAATAAACTACTTCCGAGTATTAAGTTATTTTCTTCACTTAAAAGTTATAAATCTTGGAGAAACTATCCTACCAGCTGTGGCGATCGAACAGCTCAATGATTTTCAGTCATCAGACCCAAATGCCGATTGGTTCTACGACTCGGAAACGCCTCGAGGGATTTCATTTGATGGAGCAATGCCGTGGGCATCCAAAACTCCGTTAGAAAGAATGGCGACAGGAAATAAACCTGCTTTAGAGTTGATCAGAACACCAAAACAAATGGCGGAGTTGCAAGATGAAGAAATTGCTATAAAAGAAGGTTATCATTTAGGTAAGATTTTTTTGTGGCTTCACTTCCAGTATTAGTTATTCAATGTCTGACGTAGTAAATGCGTCGAGTTCACTACAATGAGTACAGTCCCAAATGCAAATGTTTCTGTTAATAAGGACATCAGTCAACAATTTAGAGACTGCCGTAGTTACTAGTCATTTGCTAACAGGCTTGTCATGATGGACATTTACTTGGGTTGTTATCAGCCAACATGGAATGTTTTTGCTTAAACCTCCCACAACAAGGAACTCTAATAAATAACTGGAACGATACCTCTTCATTGTTTTTGTGAAGCAAAAATTGACGGGATCCTATTTATTGAGGTGACGTATTTGAAAACTCGTATGTATAGGCCTTAGCTGCCCCAACCACTCAGTATTGAGTGCATAGCATTGTATATAGATAGCATCCTCTCACTGACATATTTATCATCACGATTTAACGCTATATTTAACTAGGCATGCAGGTATAAAGATTTTTTATTTTGCAGCTGATATAATGTCGAGGGCCGCATTTCTTTACGGGAGCCAACTTCTACTAGACGAATACAATGAATGTGTAGCTGAAAAATTAAACATGAAATCAAGCGCATCAACTTCAGATGTAGGCGTCATCCGAGGATTTCAACAAATGATGAACGACTTAGGAGCTTTTCACCCGTATTATACATACCTCGGGCCATATTCAGCTGTAGGTGGTCTCTTCAATACTAAGAAACAGTTCTACCGTATTATCTCTTTGCTTCTTGCCGACCTTGGATTGATCCTTAATATTAGAGTTCCCTCGTCATGGCAAATTATTTTGGAGTTGCAGAATCAAGGAATTATTAGCGAATCCGAGGGCGCTAGCATCAAAGTATGTCTATCTATTGCCAACGAAATGAGACTTAAAACGTACTTTGCTAATAATGGACAGAAAGAGCTATTTTCCCCTGTTCCTAAGCATACAACCACCACAGAACAATCCACCGTTCTCCCTATCTTCCGTGATTACGATGAAAATGTTGTCGTTTGCCTCGTAAGTATCACTAATGATATGGCTGAACGATGTCGTGCCTTTGCATTGAGATTCTTTAAAGATGGTGTAATTGACACAAGAACTCTTCAGAAATCAACTTATCCATCTTCGATTGCCGTTCTTAAAGGAGTTCTTTATTTTAGAATACAAAATTTTCCAAAAGCTTTAGAGTCGTTTGAATTGGAACCTGAGGATAGTCCAGACTACTCGTTGTGCCTTAACGCTAAAGGAATTATTTATATTGAGTTCGGGGAAAGCGAAAAGAGCGTTAAATGTTTTGAAAACGCCCTTAGAGTGTTTTACCAGAATAAAAAGAACTCAAATCAAAGCGCGAGTATAACAACTAATAACTTAGCGTTGATACTATTACACATGGGAAAGCTTGACAAAGCGAGAATTGTTTTAGAAGATGCGATTAAGAAGCATGACGAAAGCTCGTATACTATTGACCTCTGTGCTTTGATGATTAATCTCGGAAGAACCTACCATGAGCGTGGAGATAGGAAGTCAGCAGTTGAAATTTACGAGAGAGTTGAACAGATGCATAACAAATTAACGAACATCCCAGATATGCATGTGATTCATCTTTGCCTTTACTTTTCCATGTCGTTAACCGAACCTGATCAGCATGAACGGTCAATAAAGTATATGGAACGAGCGTTACGACTTGGTCATAAAGTATTTGGTGAATATAGCCTCAGCGTAAAGTTGGCGGAAATCTATGTATTTGCAGGCATTGCTTACAAGCGTTGCAATCTAATTGATGAAGCTCTGGCTTTCTTCCAGCGAAGTTTGAAATTACTTCAACATCTCTTTGGCGATAACCCGCACTCAGGTAGATCGTACACAAAACAATTTTTCTTGCAACTTGGAATGCAGTTTAACTTTTGAGAGATGTAAATTAAATTACGCAAGTGGAAAACTTACTTAGGACCATTTCGTTCATGCTCCCCCACCCCCACCTAACAATCCCTTAGAAATGCCATGCTTGTCTAGCAATCTTGAATATAATCGATTTTTTTCCTTTTCTTTTGACTTTCCACATTAACAAATGATACATAGTAGTTTCTCACAAACATCAGCCAGCCTAGCCTACATTGGTTAATTAATATAATGATCGAGCATAGTCAACTTTTTTATTTTCAGGTAAAGTGTTTTGTCTCAAGCACCTGGGAAATTTTTTCTACGGACGAGGTCAATTAATTAAAGCGGTAGAGAGCTTTGAAAATGCTTTGAAACAGCAAAGGATTCTCTTCCAGGGAAAGCCTTGTATTACGATTTCGGAAACACTAAGTTACTTAGGAAAGGCACTAAAAAGCTCCGAAAAGCTCAACGAATCACTTCAGTACTTTCAAGAAGCAAAGGATATAATGGAGATGACCTTGGGGCCAGATTACGAGCAACCTCTCGCATCAGATATCCTGAATAACATGGGAGCAATTTATAAAGAACTTGGCGACTTGAGGAAAGCTAAAGAATGCTGCACCAAAGCTCTCGATGTGGATAGAAAAAATTCTGAAACTATAAAAACGGTTTCTCGTGTTGTATCCAGTCTTTTTTACCTGGGCGAGATATGTGAAAACCTTGGAGAGCAGGATAAGGCGTTGAAGCATTTTGAAGAAGCAAGAGAGCTCCTATATGTTGCTAGTTCCAAAGATCGTCCCGCTTTGATAAAAATATTGGTCAAGTTGAGTACGAAGTATTTTGAAATTTGTTCCATTGCAAAGAGTATGTTGTGTGTTAAAGAGGCTTTAGAGATAGCCAAAAGCTTCCCTCAAGACGATTCACGTCCTCCTATTGTTTTAGAACTGCTCCAATTGCTAAAAGAAGCTACCCAACGTCAGTAACATCTCCGATCAAGCGAAGATAGACATACACTGTGGCGAGACGGAAAATTTAATTTTTATTAACCTGGTCCAGACTTCCAGTTTCCTTTTACGGCCTATTACTATCAGATAAAATAACAACTTTCACAATAACTAGCCGTCCAGTTTGTCCCACAATTTCTAAAATTAACTATATGATATATATAATAAATTTATTTTTGATATTTAATATTGCTTGTTTTTGTCTCAACTGTAACCTCTTAGCAGTTAGCTCCATTTATGGAATAAATCTTCCAAATTATATTTGTGTTGAATTGTATGCTCGTAATTCATAACATAAGTTGATAAATTGCGTGGATTCTTAAAGAATTGTTCGATTTTTACGCCCGGAATGTTTTGAAGCAATGTTCGTCGCTTCTCGTTTCTTTACATCGTGAATAATGTTCAAGTCTTGACGGCACATGCGCAGTTACGACGTATAAGAAAAAATCGGGTGTTCCGGGGAGTAATTCTTCGCAAATCTGATGAATTTAGTGGATTCACATTATTGCGAGGAATATGAATATATTTATTAGGTAAAATATCGTGACAAAATCACTGAATCGACAACAGAACAAGAACATGAACACGAGGTACTAAAATACATACATCAAACGTTCGAACAAGAGTGACGTCATAAACTATTTTAACACTCCTTCTCAATCGCAGTTCGAATGTTTTTCCTTTTAATTAGGTTTAACTGTAACGCCTGTTAGTTTACGCAGTTTCTTAAATTGTTCCTTTGGAATACCCTTAGTAAATAAATCGGCTAACATGCTGTTTGTTGGACAGTAGAGAACAGTAATTGTTTTCTTCTCTACTTGGTCTCGTACAAAATGATATTTTATGTCTATGTGTTTGGATCGCCCATGGAATTGTGGGTTCTTGGACATGGCAATAGCTGATTGATTGTCCTCATAAATGGTTAATGGGTTCTTAACATCTATGCCAAGATTGTCCAACAATTGTCTTATCCACAATGCTTCTTGAGTAGTAGCAGACAATGCAATGTATTCGGCTTCAGCCGTTGACAAAGCTACGCATGTTTGCTTCTTGCTTCTCCAACTAATAGAAGCTCCGCTCATCTGGAATGTATAACCAGAAGTTGACTTTCGGTCGTTTAAATCGCCTGCCCAATCCGCGTCCGAAAAACCGACACAATCTCGACTAGCATGTTCTGAGTAATGTAGTCCATAATTCACCGTTCCTGACAGATACCGGAAAATACGCTTCACGGCCATCCAATGCTCTTTTGTTGGGTTCGCGGTGAATTTTGCAACATTGTTAACCGCAAATGTTATATCAGGTCGCGTTGCAGATGACAAGTATAACAAACTACCAACTGCTGACTGATATTCTTCTTTGTTACACAGTTCACCATCTTTCGTTGCTTTAACAAGCTTTGAACTCATATCAACAGGAGTCTCGACAGATTTACAGTTCTCCATTCCGAATTTCTTTAAAATACTCTCCGTGTAGCTAGGCTGGCCAATCCACACTTTACCGTTCTCTTGAACTACTTGTAGACCAAGAATATAATTAAGTTTTCCCATGTCTTTCACTTGAAATCTTTTCGCAATGCTTTCTTTGACTTTAGCGATCTTTTCATCAGTTTTACCAGCAAGAATGATGTCATCCACGTGAATCGCAACAATGAAAGTATCACCGTCCTCTTCTTTCACGTAAATACAAGGATCACTTTCTGTTTGGATAAAACCAATTGATTTTAAATGTTCATCCAATACCGAATTCCAGCATCTGGATGATTGCTTTAGACCATATAAGCTTTTGTTGAGCTTACAGACTAAGTGCTCTTTCCGTTTAACTTCAAACCCTTCCGGTTGTTTCATATATACTTCATCTTCTAATTCTCCATTCAGGAAGGCAGCCGTTACATCCATTTGGTGCAACTTCAAACCTCTCTGAACAGATAATGCAATGACTGTCCGGATCGATTCGAAACGCACAACTGGGGAGAATGTCTCGTCGTAGTCTACTCCATATCTCTGAGAAAAACCTTGGGCAACAAGTCTTGCTTTATATCTCTCAATTGAACCATCAGCATTACGTTTCAATTTGTATACCCACTTGCATCCAACTACTCTCCGTCCTTTAGGCAGTTCTATGAGCTCATACACATCATGCTCTTGAAGTGAATTAATCTCTTGTTGCATAGCTTTTCGCCACTGTTCTGCATGTGGACCATGTAATGCTTCACTAACTGTCGTAGGCTCAACATCATCTTCATTAGCAATAGTTACCCATTCACCAAAACGATCAGGTGGACGCCTTTCTCGTGCTGGATGGCGTTGGTTAATCTCAATATCAGCTGCTTGATCATCCTCAACATTATTGTCATCTGACAGTTCGAGAGTTACAAGTTCATCACAAGTTTCATTCTCTTGAAGCTCTTTATTACTGCCAAATTCTCTTTCATTGAATTTTACATCACGACTATAAATAACTCTTGAACTCACAGGATCATACAAGCGATATCCCTTGGTTTCTGTTCCATACCCAAGAAATACACATTTCTTTGCTTTTGGATCAAGCTTCTTCCTCTCATCTTTTGGAATGTGTGCATACACAGTGCATCCAAAGATTCGTAGGTGTTTGACGTCTGGTTTCACTCCAGTCCAGGCTTCAAACGGAGTCATGTTGACCACTCCTTTTGTTGGACTTCGGTTATGTAAATACACGGCTGTTGCAAGAGCTTCAACCCAAAACCTCTGAGCCAGTTCAGCTTGAATCAGCATAGCTCGGACAGCTTCAACAAGTGTTCTGTTGAGACGCTCAGCAACACCATTTTGCTCTGGGGTTTTTGGTATCGTTAACTCATGTTTTACTCCTTCTGATTTCAGGTAGTTCTCAAATTCAGTTGAAGTGAATTCACCACCATTGTCAGTTCTGAGATTTTCAACTTATAGCCACTCGATTTTTCTGCAACTGCTTTCCATTCCAAGAAACGAGTGAAAACTTCGCTCTTTTGCTTCAGTGGATACACCCACACATAACGGGTTTTATCATCGGTGAAGGTTAGAAAGTATTCAGCACCACCACAGGATTTGGTATTTATCTTACCACAGACATCACTGTGCACAATACCAAGTGGCTCTTTCGCTCGCTTTGCACCAGAATTTGGAAATGTACAACGATGCAATTTTCCTTGGGTACATGCATCACAGAATTCTAAATCGTTCTTTGCGTCAAAGTTAAAACCGTCTACTAATTTGTCATTGGACAATTTCTTTAAACTTGGGGCTCCTAAGTGTCCATAGCGTTGATGCCATAACATTTCATTTGAGAGTTCAGTTTCTTCGTTCACAACAGCATTTGAACATTGCAAAATAGGTTGAAAATCCAAATAATACAAAGATCCAACCTTTTTGGCACTAGCAATAACCTTTTCATTGCTACAAGAAATGTTGCATTTGGCTTCCTCAAAGCTAACTGATTTTCCAGCTTCAGTTACTTTTGATACACTTAGTAGATTATAGCTAAGTTTTGGAACCAGAAGTACATTGTAGAGTTTGCATTCTTGCTGACTACCATTTGCAAGGTTACAGTTCACTGTTACAACTCCACTTCCAAGTGCTTTTAAGATCTTACCATCTCCGAGCATAACATCCACAGGTTCCTCAAATTCCACAAACTCTTCAAGCAGACCCAAGTTGTTGCACATGTGGCATGTTGCACCAGAGTCAACAATCCATGATTCACTATTAATTCCACATGCACTGGCAGCTAAACTTTGCATAACAAATCCTAAACTTTCCTTACCAGAATTTGATTGTTCAGCTTGGTTTCCTTTGTTCCAGCGTTGCTTTGAGTCTTTACCATCTTTCCCATTTTTTTCATGTTTTTCTTTAGTCAATTCTTTGCAGAAACGCCTAATGTGCCCTAGTTTCCCACAGTGATGGCACTTAATAGACTTTTTATCAGTCTTTAAGCCCTGGCCCTGGGCCATCATCAGTTGTCTACGCGAGCTTTTCGGTGACTTTTCTCGTTCGCCTAATTTCTTTTCTTCATAAAGTAAACGTTCAGTTACAATTTCCATTATTGGAACTTCGGTGCTTGCTTCTAGGGCTGTTACAAGCATATTATACGATTCAGGAAGACTTGCTAACAATGTCACAACTTTGTCCTCATCTTCCATTGGTGCGCCAATCACTGCTAACTCGTTAAAAATTTCCGTCATCGATTTTATATGACCGGACATTGGACTACCGTCTTTCAGCCTTAAATTGTTTAAACGCCGTCTCAAAGACAGTTTGTTAGCCCACGATTTCTTTTGAAATTGGTCAGACAATTTCTTCCATACAGCTACAGGGTCTTCAGGATCTCCGAGCAAATATAAAAGCGAAGGATCAACCGAAAGCACAATAATCGCCAGTGCTTTATCTCTTCGGCCATTAAACTTCGCCAATGCATCAGCTTCTGATGAAGCAGGAGCTGTCTCAGTCCCAGAAACAATGCTCCACAGCCCGTCTTTCACGAGAGCCATACGACATTGGACTTTCCAAGTCCCATAATTCGACCCATTCAACGGAACGACCGTCACAGTTTTTGATTCCGCCATATTTGTTACGCCACGATCATACCACAGTTTAAGTTAAAAAATACACGCTTTTACGGTCAAATTTATCACAACACAATACTCCTAGAGTTCTTCATACCTCAGCCCACTGGGCCCATAACCTGATGAATTTAGTGGATTCACATTATTGCGAGGAATATGAATATATTTATTAGGTAAAATATCGTGACAAAATCACTGAATCGACAACAGAACAAGAACATGAACACGAGGTACTAAAATACATACATCAAACGTTCGAACAAGAGTGACGTCATAAACTATTTTAACAAAATCCCTTTAAAACAAAACCTGACTGATTAACTGACTGACTTACTGTTTGTTTGAATTTTCGCCACTCATCACAATACTGCAAAGTTTCTCAAACTTTGCACTAAAAACTACAGATAATTCTCGCGGAATAAGAGATACTACACCACGTTTATCTCGGCCCTAACCTGTCCGCTGACCAAACTTGAACCTGCATTCAATCGGTAAAAAGGCGCGGTTACTAAGTCATCTTTCTCTTTTATTACCTTGGTAAGATGGTGAGTTTTCGAAATTATATCTCGTTTTAAATCCTTCATTATCCCGACCAAATTTGTGCCATCTGAAATTTTAGTTGTTTCTTATCTGTATTGTAATATCCGAGGTTGTTATCTTGAAATGTATGCCTAATTTTATGAGATAATTTATATATATTTTTTCCATCAACAAAGACTGCTCGACTGAAGAAAACAAGAAAGCTTCGAGGACATGTAAGCCACGGTCATGGACGTGTTGGTACGTTGTATTATCCTTAATATCCTTCATTTTCTCTTCATAGATAGTAACTATGATAGCTCGTGACAAGTTTAGTAGTTTACTAACTACTTTATGTATTTGATATTTTACATTTAACATTTCTATTTTACCATTTTGAAGGTGATGTATTGATATATTGAAGGTATTGCAGCAGTTGTATTCAAACAAATTATGATTGGGTTTTATTTTTCTGTCAGGTAAACATAGAAAACATCCTGGTGGTCGAGGTAATGCTGGTGGTCTGACACATCACCGAATCAACTTTGATAAATAGTAAGTTCCAAGATCAGTTGTGTCCTTATGACTCCTTGTGCAGTGCTATAACCAATTTGTTGAGGGATCATTCATTAATGTGTAGGTGTTGAGGATAGATTTGATTCCAATCAAACCAATATGGTATTAAATATGTGGACAGTTTGTGTATGTTATAGACTAAGTATCACTCTTAGGTATTCCAGCAAGAGAAACAAAAAGCAGCAACGGAACATGCATTTTTACTAAATTTGCATACTAAATGAATACCCCCTTTAAGGCGCTTTTTTCTACTCATTCAAAATTCACTTGCTGTGAGTGCTTGCATGTAATTAAAGTCAACCTAAAAGCATTTTCATTGGATGGAAACCCTCACAGCAAAGGGTTGCCAATGAAGCATAAACATCCAGCTCATTTGAGATCATGATGTCATAAAGCGTCTTGACAAAACTGAGTTATCATGCACCTGTGTTATTTGTCCCCATTCTTCTAACTAATAATATATTAAAGGGTGAAAATTTTAAATTCTAATTTACAGTTAAGAAAAAATAAAAGGGGTTTCACATAAATATTTTAGCGTGAGTATCTGTATGTGACTTGTTGCCGTGCGAATTGATATAAAATACTCAGGACGCTAATGTAATTTCGATATCATATAATTTATTTCACATAGAAATTCGTTGATACAATCAATAGTTTGAAGAGATGTTCTCTTGAGAGCGTAAAGCGAGACTGTATGCTTACACAAATGTTACAAGTTATTTTATACTATCGTTAGTAAAGGCGAGGCGGAAAAGCAATTAGGATTAGTGTTAAGCTAATTAAGGAGTGTTAAGCAAGAAGTGATAATGAGCTATAAATATGTACAAGTGTTGCTGCCAAGAGGAAATATAAGGTAAATAATATTTGCGGCGTAAAGATTAAACTAGGCGAGTCTATTTCCTAACAGAGTTATAAACTTATAATCTAGGCGAGGTTACATCCTAAAAGAATTATACAAATATTGTTATTAAAAGTTCCTTGCGCGCCGTCCGGAAACCAATAATATGCGCCAAGTTATTCGGTGACAGGGCGCTACAATATGATAAAATTGCTTGATACTTTTGAGTGTTGAATTCATATGCATTAAAGGAAATGATAATTCAGTTTTGTCGAAGATCTGCCTTCTGATTGGTTCATTTTTTACCCAGATCAGCTTGATATTGTAATGGCTACATATATATAACTTAAGTATAAATTAGATTTGCCCTGCTATTGTATTTTACTATAATCAATGTAAGAGTATTTTCATTTTTAGTTATATTATATTTTAGCAAATGATAGGGCTGTAATTTTTGCTCAAGGAAATCCAAGCATTTGATCCAATTTTTTTTAAAGTTTAGCTTTCTTTTGATAGTCTTTGGTCTATTTCCTCAGAAAAAGTGGGCTGCATGCCCTGCACCTAAATTAAACTATAGTGAAGTGGCATTCCATATGTTAAAAATAATCTAGTACATGTTTAATTGGGGTACTCAACTTGAATGTTTTTGTAATGCATTTGAAATCTTACAACTAGTCCTTCAGGATTATGATTGATATTTTTTATTTATAGCCATCCTGGTTATTTTGGAAAAGTTGGAATGAGATATTTTCACTTGACCAGAAATAAGTATCATTGTCCGACAATAAACTTGGATAAACTATGGTCTTTAGTGAGCGAACAAACAAGAGAGAATTATAAAAAGAAAACAGATGGCCCTGCCCCAGTGATTGATGTAGTCAGAGCTGTAAGTGTACTGTGATCAAAATTTTAATTGTTGTGTAATAACATACTATAACCCTAACCTTTTTGTCAAAAATGTTCAGACCAAGCCTTTTGTATTTAGTCCAATTCCAATATTGCATGCAGAAATTAATTTTCAAGTTTCTTCCTCACATTTGACACACTAGAACAATAGGTCATAAACAGAAACGCCATAATTAAAGTAGAAACGTAAGCACATAGAGTAACACTGATGTAACTTTGCCTCACAGCCTTGTGCAACTGACTGGCGTGAATAATTTCTGACAAGGGACATACTAGGTTAAAATACTAGTAGTTTTTAAGTGTTAAGTTGTTCTATGTGGTATTCCTTTGCATCATGGTAATGGTGCTTAAACAGATAAGGGTTTTTAATTCAAACTCGGTTTGTCTGATTGAAGTGCTTTGAAATAACAGGCTACCACAATTAATTTTTTTAGGGCTACTACAAAGTACTTGGTAAGGGCTTGCTCCCGAAACAACCAGTCATTGTAAAAGCAAAGTTCTTCAGCCGCACAGCAGAGGAGAAGATTAAGAAAGTTGGCGGGGCCTGTGTGCTTGTTGCATAGCTCTAATAAATAATCATTTGAATATTTTACTGTGTGTTTTGTTTGCTATACATATTAAGTACCCACGCTATGTTTCTCTTGTGAACCAATTAAACTGAACATGGACACCTAATAAACATGCCTGGATTTTCCTGGGGTCCTAAACACCTGTTACAAATGACCTATTGCAATAATAATGTTCACAAAAGACTGTTGACTTGCGTAAACTCAAGTCCTAATTCAAAACTTGTCATGACACATGAGATGTATACTAACTACATACATAAGTCGCGTTTACAGCACTTTGGCACGGCATGGATAAAATTGGTACCCGTGCCCGGTTTTATTAGTTCTCATGCAGAAGTTGTATTTTAATCTTATAGATGTGAACGAGTTAATTGGTTGCTACAGATGTTCAAACTAGTATATCACTATCCAGTGGATAGCGCATTTGTACAACCACAGTAAAAAGTACCAACCGACAATTTAACGATACTGGTTTGACTGGTCAGTACAGGGTCGTGATACAGGTTTTGAAGAGCAACTTCGCATCGTTCAACACCCCTGTTCACAAGTTACATTTCCCCTGAGTCCCCTCCCACGTCGACACCCCTTCGTAATGTGACGTTTATTTATGCCACGCGACAATTGCAATATCAACTATCAAGTTTGAATTTGAGAATGGCGCATGGTGATGGGAATCGAATGACTAGAACCGATCAAAGTTCAGCTTAGAAATACTTGCTGGACCCTGTTTAACTTTGTAACGAGACACGACTGGGACTTTGGCTTGTTAATAAAATACAATGTAAAACTTCGCCCGGGCAGTATTATGTACGGTTGCATGCAAATTTAATATGTCTCCATTTATTAAACGGGTGGCTGAATTCAAAGATGTTTCGAAACAATATATTACGTTGTATTAAACGATATTTTATTTCAAGAAATATGGTTGAACCCAAAATAAAAGAGTTCAGCTTTGAGTTGTGCCGTAAATATCTTGGAGGGGAGTGGAAGAAAACACCCTTGGCAAAGTTTGAAATACAACGAGTTCAGTGAGTTTTATATCGTGTAATCGTGATTAGTCTGTTACTTTTAATTGATGATACAATTCTGATTGTTTCAGACCGCGTGCAAGGCATGTGGTGATGTGGCTATTCAGTTTTGAATATCTCGATATAATATGTATTAAGTTTCAAATATGTATACGGAGTAGCTGTCTTTGCTATACCATTCAGTTAGTCATATATTCAGAGTTCAGACCAATACATTCCCCTCGAATTAGCAGTTTTTCTTGACCAGGCTACCCAGTGCAGTCGTGCAGTGCATATGAGTGATTAATGACTGCAAGAACTGCCAAATATTGTCTTATGATGGAAAAAGTTTAGGTGGGTGATCAAATTTTTTTCACAAATAGGTCATACAAAATCCTGATGATATTCCCAATATTTTGTAGTGATTCCATTCAGTGGCTTAGCCAGCCTGAAGATTTAGTCATGCTATGCAAATTTTACATTATTATCATTATTCATTTCTTTAGAAATTCATTGTTTTCATAGTCAACCAACACCAAAATATTAGCATAGCATGACTAAATCGTCAGGCTGGCTATGCCACTGATTCCATTTTATCAACTAAGAGTACTTTTATCAGGGTAACCTGAATGTCTGCAAAATCTCTAAAACCGAACTTTAGTTTAAGTGGTGCAGCACAATGTGGCTGTCCATAATCTGCTAGAGTAAAATACACATAATATAAAATATGAATGGCAAAAATTAGCAACAACTGTGTGAAACAATTAAATGGTATTTGTAAGTACATGTAGTTCATGTACCTGCATGTCAAATTGTTTGAGGTGATGAATTGTACCCAGTCTATCAACCAAAAGACTAGACGGCAGAAACTAGGTTAAGTTGGAGGTAATAATTTTGAGGTACTTGAGTAAAGACCAAATAAGGAATTTTGAGAGTTTATCAAAGGATAGGTTTGCTTTCAAATGAATAAAATGTTCATTTGTATTATCATGGAATTGATGGTAAAATCACTGACCTACATAATAGGGGGAGATTGTAAGCATGCCAAGATTAAAGGATGATGAGATGAGAAGTTAGAAGATAGACTAGCCTGGCTACATTTAGTAAATTGAGAAATTGTATTAAAGCAAAATTATATCACGTCAACTACCTTGACATGTTTGCAGTCAGTGCAACCAAATAGAAAGAAAGTAAGTAGAAGTAACAATCCACCTGAAGGGCACCAAATATACAATATCTAAATCTTAAGCGCTTGCCTTGCCACCAAGACTATGGCTTGTGCCCTGGGGCAATATATAAACTTCAATACAAAATCAATTTCAGTAGATTTGACGATATTATAAAACAAGTATACTATATTTGCTCTGGTCACATCATGGATAGTAAAATCACTATCATAAATCACTTGATCATAAAATCAACTATCTATGGTCACATATAGCTGATAGTGATAGTCTGTTTCGCCTTGCTGGTAAAAGCTCTCAAATATTGCGACCAGGGGCGTAACTACAACGATAATTGCGGGGTGAATATACATTATTCAGAATATTCACTATTGCAATTACTTACAAAAGAAATCCGTAGGGCAGAACTGAATATGAATATTCACCCCCCCCAATTATCGTTCTAGTTACGCCACTGATTGCGACACAAACTTATGATGCAATTGTTAAATTAACATATTTCCAGATTCCAAATGTTTTCCAGGGAATCTTCGAGAAAAAAGCACTAAAATTTGTATAATTGCAAAGTTTTGCTGCAAAATGTTGTAATTTACGGAAAATATAGCTATGCGAAGTTTCAAATTTTAATATTCGGCCCGAATGTTTAACTTTAAAGGCTCGTGTACACTTGCAATTTTTGCTACGATTTTATGGGCGATTTTCTTCTTTTGATAGATGTGAACGAGTGGTTTATTACCGATGTTTAAATAAGAGCTCATACCAATGGCTCATACACATCGGAGCATTCGTAACTAATTACTCGTTCACATCTATCAAAAGAAGAAAATCGCAAGCTCTTGCACGTACGTTCGCGAAATCGCACGTCCGGCTTGCGCGTTGATGGCCGCCTTGAAAGTACACTACAGTTCTACAGCTGTCATACGCACAAAAAAAATTAACTGCAACGGCCGCCCATTAGTTCCACATTTCCGCACGTAATACAATTTTAAAACATTCGCGACTAAACTTTGCAATTATATCAGTTATTTCTAGCTCACTGCAAATATGTTTACTTTCTACGCAGATCTAAAATTAGCCTATATTGGCGCATAAGGTCGATTCATTTTCACTTAAATTGCCTTTATTTTCTGACTGATAAATACTGACCGTACTCACATCATTGTCAAATTCTAATTAAATGGTAACCAAGCATCAGCAGTATTACTCAATCTATTTCGAATCATGTGGTGTAACAACTGCCAATAGACATCACGCTCGATAGCAGAGTACTTTAGCAATTCGATACAGCACTACTAGTCTGTTGTACACGAAAGAAAATGGATATTTTCCGGGGGTAACGTTCTCTAGAGTTCTCAGTTTTGTTTTTTACGCCAAAACAGTCGATAAAAACGATAAAAGTAGGAACTAATTTAATATAACGAATTGAAGTTAACGAGTTCACGGCAACCAGGTATATAATCCATCGTAATTATCGCTACTCTGGTTTTAATAAATGAAAGTAATCAGCACAACAAAGATTAACTTTCACGACCCAACGTTTCGACACTCCGGTCTAGTGTCTTCATCAGGGGTGATCTGATGTTGAAACTCAGTTCCTTATATACTCTCAAAATGACGTCATCTATCAATCAGATGTAAATATTCTTTTGGCAAATAGCTTCCGTCATCCCTATTTAGGGCACAAAGACTGCATTAATATGCCAGATCAACATCAAATCACCCCTGATGAAGACACTAGACCGGAGTGTCGAAACGTTGGGTCGTGAAAGTTAACCTTTGTTGTGGTGATTACTTTCATTTATTAAAACCAGAGTAGCGATAATTACGATCGATAATTTAATATATTTAGCATTTTTTCGCGTGGAACCGACGAGTTCGTGGAAAACTGATTTAGGATAAATAGAAAGGAACAAACACGTCGTGCGTTTGTAATAAAGATTTCATGAAGGTTTCTTATGGAAGTAAACCTTTGAATAATTGGGGTGAATCTGCTTTTGTTTTAGTGGTGGCTTGACGAATCATTTGTTTGTTTGTTCCTTGCCAAATGATACGAGAGAGAAGAATCCTAAAAGCATAAGCAAAGTTCTTCTTCGTCTCTATGGAGCGTTCTATAGCGACATGTCGGATAGCACAGTACGAATGATGGAAGAATGTATGATTTGTGTTCTGTTAGCGGAGAAAAAAATGGGACCTGACCTGTATGGGATATTTCCAGAGGGAAGACTGGAACAGTTTATACCTGATGTAAGTTGTTAATAAAAGGAGATTTAAGGGTGTTATAATTTTAACGAAACAATACTGAAATTTATTGAGACAATATATATACTCTCCCGGAATGTTATTTGTATCATATTGACAAATACAGTACCAAATTTTCTGTTTTCTAGGTTCGATCTTTAACAAGTACTGAAGTGCGACAGCCTCAATTATCCCGACAGATAGCCGAACATGTCGCTGCTTTTCATAAACTGACATTGCCGTTGTCGAAGGAGGGAACCTGGTTTCTAGAATCACTGGAAAAGTAAGCACGACCATGCTTAAATATTTTTTGTGTTTCACTAAACGGATGCATATTCTACCTCGGATAGTCTTACTTTGAATGGCAGAACAAAGTGCGAAATTTTTGCTGAATCCAAGATGTGAACAATGGTATAGACACGAGTTGTGATATCTTGATTCGATGCAAGATCATCATCTTGAAGATCATCATCAGACTCACTGATTACAAAACATTACCGGATAAAACCAAGCTACCAGCCGATCTAATTTTAAAGCTATAAAGATGTGTAGGTGTCATGCAAAAAGGACAAGTTTTGAAAAATGCTTTTGCTATGCATAGAGTTTCACTGAAGAAACAGCATGCATGGACTTAGATTTTGCAGAATGAAGAACTCCAGAATTGGTAGTGACAAGTAGTGGAATTCTTCATTCTCCCAAATTTAAGACGTATAAATAACTTCATGCTGTTTTTCAAACTCAGGTTAAATTCGTGGGTTTTTTTCATAACACGTACATCATCCTATAGATACATGTAGATCGACGTGACAGCTCCGTTGTTTCGTCCGAATGCGCGTCGGACGAAATGTCGTGCATTTACAGGTATAAAGAATGATTGTAATCAGTTTATATAATGATGATTTTGCGATAAAATAATGGAAGAGTTATTGTGTCCATACTCTTGTTAGATGTTATTTTTCGGACTTTGTCTTGTCATTTTATTTTTGAACTGTCGGCAGCTGCTGGTTTTCAGTCTTACTTTCCTGGGGCCGGTTGAATAATAGACTAGTTAACTTTTAACTGTAGTTAAGGCAGAATTAGCCAATCAGAGTCGTGTATTTTCGAGTTAACTAGGGGCGCTTTTCTTTATACAGTAAAAACAGTCAGACCGGCTCTGTTGTATTTCAGTACAGACAGATTACTGCTGTTTTAGAGTGTTTTAAAAAATCTGCATTCAGATTTAATGTTATTTACATCTGATTAGCAGGGAAAATGCAGTTTCACCACTATATTTTTAACGAGATACTCAATTTCAATTCAAAATACGACCGGTCTGACCATTTTGGCAGCTTAATGGAAAGCGCCCTAGGAGTTAACTATGCAAACTGTAGTTAAAGAGTTTATACAACCGGCCAGCGTTTGTCAATCAGGAAGGCCTCAAAACGATAAACGTGACAAAAACAGAATGAAAATGGAGACGCTCGAAAAAGACTTTTTCAGCCCTTTAGGCAGTTGTTTTGGCACGTTTTGATAACGTGTTTTGAACAATGTTCCTATTTTGTCTCCAAAACCACATGTTATATTTATTTAAATACATAGGTTCATAAAGGAGATAAAAGAGCTTAAGTTCAGCGATTCCGCAAAATCCAGAAAGTTGAAAGAAATTTTAGCTCTATATGATATAGATGAAGGACTTCAATTCATCAGGTACAAAAGTCTAAAAATTATATGGTTCTGCTGAGATTTTCATAGCCTGCAGGAAGAAATACGATTTTAAACTCCCAAGTGTTTTACATATTTTCCTAAATAAAGATTTAAACTGATACCCATACCAATTTAATTGTATCCCTATACAACTACATCTATAGTAAAGCCATGACTGTATGATAATATATATTTGTCTTACGGCAGTAATATTTTACTTTGTAGCTATTATTGTATCTTTGCAGATCAGTTGTGCAGAACTGCGACTCTCCGGTTTTGTTTTGTCATAATGATATGCAACCAGGTAAGGTGATTTTATCAGCAAATTCATTTAAAACCAGAACTATAATGAAGCATCTTTTAACCCCTTTACGTTTCTCCGAATTTACAGGAAATCTTTTAGTGAAGACTTATGAATGTCTCGAGGTTGCAAAAATCAAAGTGATTGATTTTGAATATTCCTGCTATAATAACAGGTACAGTGAGCAATATAACTTAAAACTAATAAAATACAGACTTTTACCTATTTTTGACGTAAGAATAAAGGTTTATACACAACATTTCAAGAATGGAAAGATCTTAAGCGAGATATGTACTAACTGCATGTAGGCTGGTACATGTGTCCTTCTTAGGCTAACGCAGCTGCAGGTGCTCGGACGTTGTATACGATCCATCGCAAAGATATTTTCATCGCTATATGAATCACTAATGTAATATTATTTTTTATATATTTTTACGCGAAAAACACGTTATTCTAACTGTAGTGCTGTAGGAAAGACGTAACGTTTTTGTACTATTGCATGCAGGTGTACGTGAAGGTTTGCATGTTTTATGGTTGCATATCATTTCAACTTTCTAATCAAAATGTCAATTGAGGGGCTGATTACATGGGTCATTTTCAACCCCGGCGTTGAATTCAGCCCTGTTGACCGAGATGAATTTTTTTTCGATTACATGAATAATTTCAACCCCGGGGCTGAAAACTTCAGCCCTGGGTTTGAAAATGCCCGCGAATAATAAAAAACCGCGGGAAATTCGTAAACATGGCCGGTGAAAATTTTAAAAGAATCGTGATGCTTGTTTTTTTTCAATTTGGGGTAATGATAACGTTGATATTGCAATGTTATGCTATGATCATAGCGTATAAGCGTTTACAACAGAAGCGGACGTTGCTGCTTAGCGCTTATTTGTGCTCGAAGAAAAATAAATGGGTTGCAAGGAGGAAGCATCTCATGCTTCGTAGACTACATCGGAAACCGAGAACGACATGGGTGGTAAATGGAAGAACAGACCAGTGGTGGAAAAATTTAGCAGGTGAAAATATCCCACCCGGAACTTGGAAAAAAATGTTTAGAATGAGCAAAGAATGCTTTTTCAAATTAGTAGCCGAATTGGATCCAGTGATTAGGCCAAAGCCAAACACCCCAAACTACAGATTTCTTCCAACTGATAAAAAAGTAGCGGTCACTTTGTACTACCTTAAAGACACGGGCTCATTGTGGATGACGGCAAATGCATTTGGTATCCACCAATGTACGGTTACAAAAGTGATAACAGAGGTATGTTCAGCCATAAACAGGGTGTTGGGACCGAAATATATCTATTTACCAAGAAATAAGGATGAAATGAGGCAAAAGGCTTCAGAATTCGAACTGAAATTTGGCATGATACAGGCTTTCGGCGCCATTGACGGGACGCATATTGCACTCAAACGCCCACCGCAAAACTCGCAAGATTTCTTCAACTATAAACAATTTTTTTCTCTGAATGTCCAAGCTGTGTGTGACAGCAACGGTAATTTCATGGACGTGGAATGCAGATGGCCAGGCTCGGTGCATGATGCAAAAGTTTTTGCGAACTCATCTATTTGCAAAAAACTTAATAGTGGACAGCTACCTACCACAAACCTCACAGTGCTCCCTGGACAGAATGGTGTACCTAACTACCTTATTGGGGACCCTGCATACCCCCTCACTCAATTCTGTTTGAAGGAGTATCAGTCTTGCTCGAATAATGGTCAAGTGATATTCAACAACATGCTTCGATCAGCCAGGAACCCGATCGAATGTGCCTTTGGGAGGTTGAAGGCCCGCTGGGGATTTTTAAGTCGAAAAGTGGATTTGAAATTTGATTCCATACCAACTGTTATATATAGTTGCTTCGTTTTACACAATTACTGTGAAAGGAATAAAGGTGATTTGTTGGATCAGGATGAAATTCACTCTCAGATGCAACAGCATGTGCAAGATGAAGTGCCAAATATGCCAGATCAAGTGTATTCATACAATAACTTGGAAGGGGAACTTGTTCGAACAATTCTAACAGAATATATTACACACAATTTACCAGATAATTATTACTGAAAAAATTAAGCATTGAGGGTCAATCTCATTGAAATCAACAACAATCAATCCAGACACTGCTTAGGCATGCCAACACAAGATGTTCTGACCTTTTATACACAAACTCTCAGTCTAAATTACGGATATTTGACCAATCAGAGTTTAACATGTTTAAAAGGTTTAAGCTCACATTCAGATAATAATGTAAATACAGACTGTACCCATCACAGAAAAGACTGTTTTACCAAAATAGTTTACATTAGTTTAAATACACAATATGTATTTGTGTTGTAAAATTTTATCCTTCCTTGTGAGCATTATAAAAAATAGCAATGTAACATAAGTTATAACATAATGTAAAATATGTAATGCAGCATAACATAAAACTCAAATATAAATTGTTCCTTTAGTTTTAATATACACCCCCAATTTTCATAAAACATCTAATTATGACTTCTGTTTATAGAATGTTATAAGCACGAGATTGGTCAGAATTATTTTCAGCATGACCAGACAGCTGTGAATTAGAGCCTTCATAATTGAACTGATGTGTTCCAAAGTTATTATAAACTGCTGGATTAGGATTGTGACCAGAATAGGAATAGGATTGACCATTTTGTTGCATAAAAGATTGACTCATTATTTGCATTGATTGTGTCATACCTTGGGCTACTTGCACAATAGATTGACTCATTTGCTGCATGGCATTTGCAAATGTCAGATCGGATTGTTTAATAGCTTCGGTAATATCCTTCTTAAACTGTGAATCTTCCTTAGACTCCTTCAATAGTAGTTGATCTCGTTGGGCGGCACTCAACTGGCGCTCCATGTGTTTTCGTTTATTGTCGATTAGTTGTGGAATTGCAGCAGCAACTTCGGCTTTCCGCTTCAGTTTAGAACCATTGGCTGTGTCGTTTCCCTCAATTTGGTCTGCTGTGGCCATCCCACCATCTACACTGTGTGAAAGAGGAGTAACAGAATCGGATACAGGGTCATCGTTATGATCGTTAAAAAGATCCTGTTCATCGAGTAGGTTTTCAGAGACGTTCACTTCCTCGGTGCATGTTCCACAAGACAATGGTCGAGTGGCAGAAGAACCACCCCATATTTGTACCAGCTGATCATAGAATTCAAGTATGATCTTGCCGCTACCACTACGACGTCCAGTTGTCACTGCAACAGAGAAATTCTGTCGAATCTCTTTTAATTTTTCATGGATACGTTGGTACCCCTTTTTTATGAGTTTCTTTTCTTGCTCCTGCTGCTTTCGTAGCTTTTGTTTCTCCAATTTTTCGTCTTGACTAAGTGAATCATCACTTCGGTTGATTAATGGGCTAGTAACAGCGGATGGCGGACCAAATTGTGAAGGATCGCTGGCATAAATCGTAGCCATCTCAAATCTTACAGCTTCGTATTGTTTAACTTTATCGGCGTTGAAATCACAATTCTTGAACTCCATTTGAGTTTTATAATTAGCCAAGCATCGTATTAGCGTATCAACTTTATTGTTGTCCCAACGAAACCTCTTTCCGCGAGAAACAATGACGCTTTCTGTTTCTTTTTCTTGTTCAGCTTCGTCTGCTTCGATTAAATCGTCATGTATGGTTGACTCCATTTTGTTTCAGTCACGTGCGTAAATGGCACTACTACGCATGTTCGAATAACTTCAGCCCTGGGTTGAAACGATTACATGACAAATTTTCAGCCCCGGGGCTAGTTTTACCCCAGGGTTGAGATTTCAGCTCGGGTAGCTCAGGCAGGGATGAAATTTCAACCCCGGGGCTGAATTCAACCCTGGAGCTGAAAATTTGTCATGTAATCGCGCATTGTATTTTATAGGATATTAATAGTTATGCAGGGCTGAAATTTCATCCCGGTCAACAGGGCTGAATTCAACCCCGGGGTTGAAAATGACCCATGTAATCAGCCCCTGAGTAAGCATTACTAACTTTAAAGGTTGAACAATTTTATTTCTGTTTAGAGGATTTGATATCGGCAACCATTTTTGTGAATGGGTAAGCGACTACAATTACCCTCATTATCCATATTTCATTGGAGACATGACCAAGTATCCATCACATGATCAGAAGGTAAGATACGTACTCGATGACTCAAGATAGTCGACATTGGCGTGAGAACTTACAGAAAATGTGAGTCGCGCAAAACTCCGAAAATCATATCTTTATTCTCTCAAAGACTGGTGATGGTATATACTATTTGGTATAACCCCGATGGTATAACCCCGATGGTATAACCCCGACCGGTTGCTAACCTGTGAAATGCCGTTCTTCCAGTACTCCTCCACGCAGATTCTTTATTCATTTTAATCTCAACGTTGATAGACCTGTGCACATTCATGCAGTCTTTTTCTTTCCCCGCACATTTCGATTCTAACATTAAGAGCTAGTCAACTTATTTGTTTCAGGTTTTCTTTGTGCGTACCTACTTGCAAGCGTTACACGAAGGCGAGAACGTGTCCGACGAAGAAGTTGAGAAGGTTATTGTTGAAGCAGACAGGTATCTAAAGCATAAGACCTTATATAGACCTTGTAAAGAATAACATGCGTGGTTTGTAAGAAAATGAACCTTTACAAAATGTGACAAAGCTGATGGTTTTTGCAACCTGGCTTGACCGCTTGAAGTGTAGTTAGGTAGGAGATGTATATTCATATACGTTTATGTTTAATCAATTGGCTTCATTAGGGCACGAAAACAAAGGGGAATTTCGTTTTAGACCAGTCAACATATCTGTTTACATTTTCGGTTGGCCAATCAGAATGCATAAATCTTGACTACTTCCGGTAAAAAGTTACATCATTTGCCATTTTACATGAAGTATTGAAAATGTAGGAATTCTGAATGGTTCTGCCTGAAAATGTAATTGTATATGCGAATACGTTCAAAACGAAATTCTTCCCTGTTGGGCACGAAACAAAGGTGTGAATAAGCGTCTGTAGCTTAGTCTTTGATACCATTTGAATGACACTTGAATTTACTGCATGTGTGTTCGTTCTCTCTGACTGAGGCTGAACAGGTGACATGTATAAATTTCAGAGGTAGCTGTTCGAACTGCGTTTAACTTAAACGGTGGATAAGTTCAAAATGGAAAACAAAATTATCTATTTATTTAACATTTGAGCTAAAATATTTCGATGTAAATAGATTATTTTCAATGGATAAATTTAATTTTTAATGCATAAGGTGTAGGTTCAGTAATTCAAAAGATGTATAAGAGTATTTTTAAACTTCGGCTTATCAACCGTTTAAGCTTAAAACGCCCTTCGAACAACCGACCCCAGGCGAATATCTTGTCGTTGAGGTTGTTATGATTTTTTTTTTGGCTTAACGTTTTAGCTTGCTATGATTCTGTGTTTTAGATTATCTTTACTTTCCCACTTCTTCTGGGGAATGTTTTCCATTCTTCAAAGCTACAAATCAACAATAGACTTCGGATATCTGGTATGTAGTTATATATAGCAGCAACAACGATATGAATAGTACACAGTATAGATCTGGTTATAATTGGTTTTTAGATATGACCATTTCTATACAACAGCTCAAAACGCTGACCTATATATAATAATGTCTGGTTTCCATTCATTCAGATAGGCAGCGCGGAAATTAGTATAGACTTAGCCGCAATTCTCAATACTTAGACTTCAAACTTGGTGAGAAAAAGATTTATAAATTCTCAAGAAAATATGTCTTGCACAAAAGATTGAAGCTTGCACACGGTAAAAACAAATCGTCTGAATTAATTACCTTGTGTATACTTTAAGCCTCAAAATGGCCATTTCACAGCGGTCAAAGTGTATGATGAGCTGTCAAAAGATTGCAGAATGCGTATTCAGAAGAAAAATTGAACTATTTTAAAATATTCAAAAGGTTTCTCTTTGATAGCGGTACAGAAATGCACAATTGTGAACCAGCGATTGAATTTTTGGATTCAGACGTCTTAAACACCAATTTCTGCGGTGTCATTCAGATGCGATAGAATATTCTATGTGCATGTGTGGAGTTAATAGTGACCGATTTGGTTACAGAAATAAAGACAAATTTACATTCGGACTCATCGGTATAGAGATGACTTGTTCACGACAATTACGGCTAAATGGAAACCAGGCTTTATAATTCGCATAGATTTGTATTGGTTAGGGCACAAAATGAACTGAGAAGTATATTGTAGATTTGAGAAATTACACGCACACTCCCGGTAACATGCGACAAGGGCAAAATTCCTGGAGGGGGGCTATATATAATCCTTGGAGATTTCTGGCTGGGCGATATTATCGGCGCGGGACATATTTTCTGGGCTCTGGTAGATGTGCTTATACTCTACGCTCAGCTGACTGGGACGTAAAATATTTTGCTTTTATTTTGCTTGTAGGAATACGCATTGTATCGACTGGAGTGTTTTGAACATTTTAAATATCTCGCAGATGACGAAAGAAGCGAGGGCAAAAAGACGTTGTGTATCAATGGCAGTCACTAAAAGAGAATAATATATGCGCATCGGTTCCAGTTTACGTACATAAGTATTTTCAGTTTATCTGAAAATCTATACTTTTTTTTGCATTCAAATGCATGTAATCACTGCCATGATTAAGCTATACAAGAATGCCGAAAGTTCAAAACCTGGTAGGTATACTAAAGTATTTTATTCGGGTATATTATAAAACGACTCGTAATTAGGTTGATTGTGTATATATAGGAAACGCACATTTTACATTTTGTTCATTTTACAGTATGATATTTCAGCATAATTATATATACAGGGTGTTTCATAAATCCTCAGCCTTGAAATTTCTGAAGAAATCTATACTTTGTAATTAGTTCAAGGCGACGTTCACACGGCGGAACCATTTTCGTTCGGTTTCCTTCTGCATGTGAACAAGTAAAACCGTACGTAGCTTAAGGCATGAAAAATTTGGCCCTGGGAAATTTGAAACCTCTTTTTTAAAATCGTGACTGTTGATTTTTTAGCTATTAACTAGAGAGACGATGAAGTGGAGTTTTAGTATGATTAGAAAATTGATTACGAAAAAAGAACCTCCAATATGTTGCAAAGAAATGTCTGGCAACTTTACAGCGATTTAAATAAAAAAATAAGCACCGTTCTACAATATAGTTTTTTTTTACCTCGAGATCATTTGTTTAAAATTACTGGTTTTTGATCTGCCACTTTGACAAAAACAACACGCCGCCATTTTGAAAGTTGGCTTGGGTGATTATCGCGTAATAATCCAACGTTGCTTGACCAATCAGAGTCCAGGATTAAGAGCAAGTAATACGATTTATTTTATTATTAAGCGTCGTTTTTGTGCTCAAATGCAAAGCAGATTTCCAAGGAAATTTCTACGTTGGGGATTTTTGTATACTCCCTGCCTATTTTCTACCTAAGTAGAATTCACATGTCTAACAGAAAGTAGATTTTATCTATTATCATAGCCCAGTCTTACGCTCAAATATATTTGAAATTACATACATAGATAGAAATACATCCAATTAATTATTCACCTGATCAAAGCATTACAATATATTGACGTTCATGCATCTATCAGGCGTCATGGCCACACAAGATATCACTTAAAACGTAAGTCCAGATGAGAATAATACTAATGTGTGCTTAAGGCCATGTTACACGGTGCGATTATCTTTGCAACTTGCAATACATTTCTACTCTAAAGAGATGTAAATTAGTGAATAGTCTTCAAAATGTAAGTGTAATGAGCGCCATCGAGCGTAATAAAGACAAAAGTTCGGCAGTTGCCAAATTTACGTCTCTCAAAAGAAGAATTACCTTGCAAGTTGCAAGAAAAATTGCACCGTGTAACAGGGCCTTTAATTTCACCTAAAACATAATTAAGGTTGTACTCTGCTTAGGCTGTCTGCAATAGACCTTTCTTATAATGAAGGTACAGCCAAAATGCAACAAATTCGCATATGATTACCAGAAGGCATCAGTTTTTAAACACGTAATTGTGTCTTCTTTTAATCCGAATCTAACTGCATTGTCTTTAACCAGAATATACCATTAGGTGTAATATAGAGAGCCCAATATGACATACTCTAAAAGGTATAAGCAGAAACTAAGCTGAGGCAGTCTGTTTTGGTTAGCAACAGATTTTTTATGTGGTATGCAGAACTTACCCGGGATAAAATCATAATATAAACAATAACATAATAAAATATATATAATGAAAAGAAACTTCAATAAAACGATGTCCATAGAAGACTCTTCTGTATTGATATATTTACGGGTTTCTCAGGGCCGTCTATGGAACTTAATTGTGGGGGGTAGTCATATATATTCGTCTATATATACTGTTTTTATATATTGTTTAATATATAGTCATATTTATTGTTTTTATACTTTTTTTGAACATGAATAATTGAATAGCTATACCCTCCCCCTCCAATAAACTTTCTAACGTCGGCACTGGGGATTATTTGTAAAGAGGACTCTAAGATATATAACTTAGCATTAAATGTGGTATAACAACTGCCTAAATAGACAAAACACTTCTCGACGTTTCGACCTGAGGGCCTTCGTCAGGAGAGCCTTTGTCTATTTAGGCAGTTGTTATGCCACATTTGATGCTAAGTTGTTTGAAGACGCTGCCACGCTGCTCCTTGGTTATATTGGAACTTATCTAAGATATATAATTGAAGAATAATTCTAAGGAAATTTTATCACCGCACAAAAGCGCAAGAAAAGCGGTAGAATTTATCAAACTATGTCTATGACGTTTTTCAGAAAGGCTCTGACTGCCATACTACTAGCTTACACGAGTTCGCGAACTCATTTCACGTACCTTCTACAAACATGAGTTCTCAATTGTGGGTTACATAAAAAGCATATTTGATTGATTCTTCCCACATTTCTTAGGCGCGACGCCATATTGAATTTCTAAATTAGCGCGCTACGTCAGGCATGCTTGGTGGCCATATTGACCTGCATTTGTGGCCATGAAAATGCATATAATCGTCCAGTGGCGTAGTTAGCCTGACGATTTAGTCTTGATGCTATATATATATGCAAATTTTATGTTATCGTTATTCATTTCTTTAGAAATTCGTTGTTTTCACAGTCAGCGTTCAGATTTGTGCAAACTGTTCTTGTAATTTATATATTGACAAAAAATAAAAAACCCCGCAAAAAAATACAAGTTTTATGTGCCAATAGATGCGTCAAACTGGATTCGAAAAATGTGGCCGAAAACATATGAGTTGTCAAAAAAGGCAAGTTCAGTCCTAACGCTTTTAACAACTGGCATTTGCAATAAAATTAAAATGTAGCTATAAAAGCTGTTTTTAATTAATAGACGGAACATAATCAATGACAACGTCAATGAAGCTATTGAAAACAGTGCAGTTATTGCTATATTGGCCCTAGCTCCATTGTGTTTACCAGGTGCCAGAAAAGATCAATTTAATAAAACATTTCTGTTGTTCTAATTACAAAGTATTGAAAAAAAATGTTTAGGTTACATGACTTATGTACACAATAACTATACGAATAACAAGATGCATGGATATAATTCACGTTTACGCAGATTTGTCTAGGATACATAATTTATGCCTGTATATGATATACAGGGTGTAAAAAAAACGCAAGCAGTCAATATTCATGACATCATATTCATCAAAATTCGCTTTTGCCTTTGGTCGCTTTTTATAAGTAGAAGACAAAAGATTATTTATGAATATTTTTATACACTCGGTATAATTTTATATACGAATAAAATATATCATTTACGTTAATTCATTAACGCAAGTTTGTTTGGGTAACATAATTGATGTCGACAATTAATATATATATATATATATATATATATATATATATATATATATATATATATATATATATATATATATATATATATATATGTATATATATATGTATATATATATATGAATATTCTGTAAAGAGGATGACTTCTTCAGGCATAAAATAATATATATTTACTCCAAACGTTTCGCCGGTTAGGGCTTCTTCAGTGGAGAAATGGTTGCCATTTCTCCACTGAAGAAGCCCTAACCGGCGAAACGTTTTATGCCTGAAGAAGTCATCCTCTTTACAGAATATTCACATTAATACCAGGCATGGCAACCAAAACACCTTCATATATATATATATATATATATATATATATATATATATATATATATATATATATATAATATATATAATATATATATATATATATATTATATATATATATATATATATATATATATATATTATATATAATATATATAATTATATATATAAATATATATATATTATATATATATATATATATATATATATATATATATATATATATATATATATATATAACAATATATCATTTTACGTTAATGGCGACTTGCGCTTTAGACTAATAAAGATTAGACGGAAGTAATAAGAAGGAAATAAATCACCACAGCTCGAAAAAGCATAATAAAATTAGTGCCAGTGCAAATTAAAATATATATATAGCTATGCGAATTAAGTTGACAAATTTTGTATATACACTTTTGTTTTACGTGCGGAAATGCATGTGTAACGAAATTAGCTATATACACCGGTAACACGCCTCTGGTATATTAGTACAAAAATATAGCTGTATTTTCCGTATTTCGCAAGCAAACTTTGCAATTTTACTAGCTTTAGTATGCTCTTCCATGCAGAATATTCTTTTTATCACCGAGATAAACAAAATACCTATATACGAATTAAAATATATCATTTACGTTACTTTTTTCGTTAATTTATCTACGCAAATTATACATTAATTGTTATTCGTATAGTTATTGTGTACACACATTATGCAACCCAAACAATTTACTTTGATTAATACTAATAGTGATATCGCACGATAGTCGCACGATTTTCAAAAAGCAAGTAATCATTTTAAAAGCAGCAACCATGCACAAGGAATAAACAATGAATTAACCCCCTGTTTCTAAAAAGCAGTGCATCATTCTCGCAAACTCATAAACACTATAGTAGGAGGCGATTCTACATCGCCCGATTTCAGATTTCGCTGTTGGAGAACAAACATAAGTTATTATTATTTTAATTTTGTTTTTTTTAATTAAAAATAAGATCTTTTTGTAAATATATTTGATTACATTGCGTCTAAATACAGCAGTTCTTTGTTCTTACAACATTTATTAAAAATCGGTAAGCTTCGTCAAAGTCACATTTAGAAGTCCTGAATTTTGCAAAATCTTAAATTTACTACACATGCACTCTAATGCTAAATGATAGTTAAAAAGTTTTAGATCCTAACCTAGTAAGATTACAATAAAATCAGTTGACATTTCATAAATATTTCTAAAGCTCTGACTTGCTTTTGAAGAACTAAATCAAGTCAACAAGACTGAACGTGAAATCAGAGACGTATTTTCTAGGCTTCATGTATCTAAATTTCTGCAAATAAAAAGGAATGATAAACGTGTAACGTATTAGGATTACAAACTGCTAAATTAAAAATAAAATATATATCGAAAGTAGAAACATATTTAACGATTGAAAATTATTTTTTTGATGACAATTTCAAATGTGACATATGAGAACAGGTTAGGGTAAACACGAGGAAATGAAAGACATATTACAAATTTCCTTTTATATTAACAAATGTAGCTTTTTATTGACTGAAGGTGTGTGATTAGTTATTACCTATGATATATATAGAAGCGGCATTTCCAAATCCAGCATTTCCAAATCCAGCCGAACAAGGCTTTGCTTGCCAGAAATTGTTACAGATTTCATGTTGAGGTTTTTCCAAAGCTACTGGTGGTAAGTATTTATCTTTTCTCCCTACCTGCATTTTAACCTGGAACGATATGATCGCTTGCTTGTTTTAATAGCTAACTGTTGTGATTAGTATTTTATTTGTGCTACAAAAATGGAAATCTTAAAGTCCACGCCTATTCAAGTGCTTATTCTGGTCTTATAATGGGTTATTGGTTTAACCGCATGGTGTTTTATTTTTGCTACAAAAATGGAAGTCTTAAGGTCAACGTTCCATGACGATGCAGCCGAAAAAATTGATTATAGAACCACCTTTAAACTCGTTTACTGAATAATGACGTACAACTATAAATTATAATACGCCATGTCTTAATTATCTTAAGTTATAGTAATATAATTTATTTGAAGTCTAAGTCCGTGTCCCTTTTCCCTTTTGGCTCAACGATTTGTCTTCTTGCCTTCTGAAAATTTACGAAAAAAAATACCTGCATGACACGTCATAGATCATATGGAAATTAAATATTACAGTCATCATGAGCAACAGTTTGAGATATAAGAACGACATTCGAAACAGTGGGTTTTTATTTAACTTATATATTAAGTGCTTATTCTGGTCAACTGAAGGTTTGAAAAAGTAGTGGCCAGGGGTATATTTAAGAAATAGAAAACATTTTCCGTGTTTCTATACAGTTATAGAAACACGCGTGGGAGTTTGGGAGAACGAGAAATAATCAGTTGGAAAACGAGCCCGTAGGGCGAGTTTTTCCACGTTATTTCGAGTTCTCCCAAACTCCCACAAGTGTTTCTATAACTGTATAGAAACACAGGAAAAAAGGTTTTCTATTTCTTTTATAATATAACTCAATAAAAAGATTTTGTACAAATATTATAATTCGATTGAATTACAAATTCTCATTACATCGCTTCGCTTGTCAAGTTCGGCGGGAAAATTCCCGTGTTTCTATACAGTTATAGAAACACGCTTCCCGACCAATCAGCACGCGCGTACTATAAATGTTATATTATAATACCTATTATTTCTGTTTAGAAAAGAAACCATTAGGAATTCTTAGTTTGGAGATTAATTGTTATAATTTTTATTTATCTTTCAAGGGCAAAAAATGGTTTCCCATTCCCTGCGTATTTTACTGATCATCGCTGGATTTCTAGTAAAGAAAGCTTACCGTGAGTAACTAACTTTTATTTGAAGTTACATGCACTAGTAATAGTATATACCGCAGTTTACTGGTCGATACCGTGCAGTAATGTTACTGTGCTAGTTTGTGTTTGATGCTCGACTTATGCTGGTCTAAAACTCACTGTGATTGCTTGCATCAGCTGACTGGAATCAACGCAAAAGCAAGTTAAAATGAATAAAGACCCTCGCGGGAAGCCGCGAGTTAGTCTTTACATAGTGCTAGGCAGGTGGTTAACTCTCAAGTATGATTATAGTTGCAGAATTAGCCAACTAGGATTGTGTTCTTTGGGGTTAAATACGATGTAACCAGAAGGCTATGTGCACGCGGTAAGGTTTTCTAGCGTTTTCACCTTCGTTTTCATACCAAAACGGTTTCATGCAAACACCGTGAATTTACAATTAGAAATTGAAGCTAATTAACATATTAAGCATATTTTCTTTCATGGATCGTGTGGCAATAAAATAGACAATAAAGATTTTGACAAGAAATAGACAAAACGCTCGAAAATGACGATCATGTGCACATAGACTAAGTTAACTTCGATTTATGTTGATTGATACGATTCAAACAACCCTAGGCCTTTCGTTGAGGCCCTTAAGAAGTCAGAGTTTATTTTCCGATTAATTGCATTTTTTTGCGCCGCATAGCGATTGCGCAAAGTATTAACGCGATTTTAATTAGGTCATTTATTTTTGACGGCTCGTATATACTTGCTTAATATTTATTAGTTCATGCAGGCAACGCATGGCGCAAATGTCTCAATCCAATACCGAAACAGTTTTCATAATTTTTCTGCTCTAGTTTATAGAGTTCTATAGGTTAGCCTACTCTTTTCCACCCGACGTTCATAAGTGAGCGTGAAGAAGATGATAATCTTTTTTCTGTTCTTTATATAACCCTTCAGCGGATGGCACGTGTAGTGCCACAGGTGACCCGCACTACAGAACATTTGACGGCAGATTGTTTCACTACCAAGGCAAATGTGGTTATGTCTTGTCGGAAGACATCGATAACAAATTTAAAGTACACTCTGAGAATGATCCATGTAACGGTGGAAGATTCACGTGCACAAAGGCGATTACTGTGAAAGTGAAAGGACTAACCATACATGTTGCACGTGGAGGTCACGTGAAGGTGTTTGGTATCACTGTTGCTTTACCATACAACAAACAAGGTATATCAAGATTCGAGAATCGCGCGGGATTTAAAGTTGACATGAAATTTCAAATTATATTACCTAATATTATGTCAGAAGTTGTTGTTGAGTATAACGAAATCAGTAGAGAATATCAATCAATCTGATCTGGAGCAAATTTAGGACCAAAAATAAAATAGGGGTATATTAGATATGGGGCTAGCTATCGGTGGTGGCGACCCATTTGTTCTAAGCAAATCTATGTCCACTTGTGATGGATCAGACGCCTTATAATTTTGCATAATGTCGAAAGAGGTTCACTGTAAGTGAATTTTAATCTGATAACAAATAATGATGGTATTTCACATATATACCTTTTTCCATGCATCAGTCACTTTTGACTTTCAGCCATTCTACTTTCAATTTTCTTTTCATTTTACATTCTTTTCATGCAGGTAATGTATATTATAGAAAGCTTCCTCTGTTAACGTTTTCACAGTACATCTTGCAATCAACAATATACGCATTTTTAATATCAGTTTTAACCTCTTTTAGCTATCTGATTTAATTTTAAGTTATTTGACCGGGAAATATTGAGTTAATGACATTTGTTATATAGGTGCTTTGTATTTTAAAATGTGATTGGTTCATTCGTTTTCACAAGATCACTTTAAATAAATGCAATGTTTCCCGCCAGGAAACACGTAAAAAATTGTTGCCCGCTTCTTATCATAACAAAATAAAGTGGGTTTTTTTAATGAAATTGTTGTGTAACATGTATGTTTTTGTTTCTATATAACAAAACACTTAATGTACACTACCTCGGAAAATATTGAGTTTTGTTTTCCTTCGAGTCCCAATGTTTCCCTCGACTTCATCTCGGGAAACATTCACACTCTTGGGAAAACAAAACTCACTATTTCCCTCGAGAGCATACATTAAGTGTATATTATTTCTTTATAGGTGTTAACATTATTAAACACGGAGGACGCAACATACGAATATCAACCGACATTGGTTTCACAGCTCAATATGATGGCGTATATAACGTTTTCATCATCCTCAATGATCGATACCGAGGGAAGACTGTCGGCCTGTGTGGGAACTTCAATGGTCAGCAAAATGACGAATTCATTATGCCAGATAAACAATTAACCAACAACGATCAAACGTTTGCTGACTCCTGGAAACTGGATCGATCCTGTCCTAATGCACCTCCTCTGCCTAATCCATGTACCACCGCAGCTGCGCATGCCCAAGTAGCCAAAGCGAAATGCGCCTTAATGAGATCTCAACCGTTTTCTGCCTGTCATAATCATGTTAATGTGGATTCAGGATTCATTCAGGATTGTGAATACGATGTATGTGCGTGCAAGGATCATCCGTTGTCGTGTCTCTGTGAGGAATATTCCGCATACGCAGACTCTTGTTCTCTGGTAGGAGTCAATGTCCAGTGGAAAAATCTGCCACAGTTCAAAGAATGCGGTAAGTCTGTAGTATTTTTTTTTTATTTTGTCTTTACACATTGCCGTACACAGCATTCTGGCGCATGAAAGGTACGACTGACGTTAACCCTCGCATTGATTTAGTCGTTTGTGAAGCTTAAAATCCGCTTTTTTAGCGTTCTTGCTCGAATACATGCTCCAGAATAAGAATCGTATACGAGAAATCGTAATGTGTAAACACACGCTTACTAATCAAAGAATTACAGATGTATTTTTGGGTTTCAATATCTTTAAATCGTAACCTTTTTTCTTTCCCCAGTTTCTCCATGTGCAGTGGCTCCATGCATGAATGGAGGTATTTGTCAAAACGTCGGAAAAGGCTATAAATGTACGTGTGCTCCGGGTTACCATGGAGATAAATGTCAGACTGAAGGTGAGACATTTGTATTGTCTACAATCTCCTAGCCCGCACGCCCAAACTTACGTCAAATCGTAACTTTGGTAATGATTTTGCTGGGGATTGTAGTCTCATATCAAATCAGTCTATTTCAACAGGATTACTCATTCAACAGAATTGCTGGTCGCCAGAGGGGCTCAGATGTAAACTCCTGATAATTGTCTACTCGTTAAAATTTTAACAATGGTACTCTTTTTACAGTTGAAGCTGTTTGCAGCGCCACGGGTGACCCACACTACAGAACATTTGACGGCCGAAGGTATAACTTCATGGGACAATGCCAATATATATTGGCAAAAGATCTGGACAGCTCATTTTCGGTGATGACAAAGAACAATCGATGTAACGGCAGAGCAAGTTGTGTTGTGGCTGTGACGGTTTCAGTGAAAGGTTTGACAATTGAAATGAAGAAAGGTGGTTCACTAACTGTGTTTGGCGCAAATGTGCAGTTACCTTACAAAAATCAAGGTGGTTAAACTATCGATTATTATCTAAAGTTCACTTTTTCTGTGAAATTAATTGAATAGTATGACATTAAGTAAACGCTGTTTACAATCCAACCATTTTTCTGATAAATTAAATATTGTATTTCTGAATTTATCCAAATAACCTCGCGATGCCGACCCAAAGATAGGGTACTTCATGTAGTTTTTTTTTAGTATCGTCGTCTTTTTTCGTCTCGAAGATGTTAGCTATAAAGTAGCTACTCTGTAAATTCGGGTAAATAATTTTTATATATGTATGTATTTAGGTGTAAGTATTGTGAGACATGGAACACGTAACCTGGAAATCACAGCAGATATTGGTATAAAAGTATTGTACAATGGTTTGTCAAACCTCTTTGTAACCGTGAAAGGAAGACATATGAAAAGAATGGCGGGTCTTTGTGGCAACTACAATGGAAACCCAAATGACGAGTTTGTTAAAGTTGACATGAGAAGAACCAATAGTGTGACCGAATTCGGAAATTCCTGGAAAGTTGGTCGATCTTGCCCAAACGAGCCACCGCTTCAAGATCCGTGTCTTACCGCTGGTAAAATTGCCCAGGAGGCGAAGAAGAAATGTCAATTGCTAAAACAACAGCCATTTGCCGCATGCCATAAATCAGTTGCTCAGAATGACGGCTTCATCAAGGATTGCGAATTTGATGTCTGTGCTTGTAATAATCACCCAACTTCCTGCCTTTGCCAGGAATTCTCGGCTTATTCCACCTCTTGTGCCTTGGTGGGAGTTCCCATCACCTGGAAAAATCTTCCACAATTTGCTGAATGTAGTGAGTACCTTGACTATACTGTTGTACCCACCCAGTACCTCGATATTATTAATCACAGATTATAGAAGCTGTAGCAAAGTAGGCAAAATGTTCATGCGACAGTGAAATGTGCTTGGGAATGAAAAAGGGGAAATCAGAAAGCTAGGGTGAAGAAAAACCATAGAGGAAATATGCGAGTGTTGAATTGGCACGCAAAGGAATACGAATAATTTAACGAGATTGCATTTATTGCCGAAATATGAAACTAAAGCCAATAACGAGAGCTTGCAATTGCAATTGCAATTGTACAATCTATCTTTCTATCAGAAGAACTCCGGATTGTTCCCGACTCTTTCGGCCTAATCATAGGTTGCTACCTCGGAAAGGACTTTTATTCTTTATTACTCTAAGCGGTATTTTCGAACGATACTGAAATTCGTCTTTTATCCCAAGGTATGCCGTGTGCTTCTGGTCCTTGCAATAATGGAGGGTTGTGCATCAATCAGGGAAATGACTTCAAATGCGAATGCGCACCAGGGTATGATGGGAAACAATGTGAGGTTCGAAGTAAGTATTAGAAATGATTTTCATGCATTTACAATGGTACGTCGGATATTCTCCGTTGCGGGCTCAGATATAGAACTCCTAGAAAAGTAAACTGGTTAGTAGGCGCGAATTTCATAATATTTTAAGAAAGTTGAAGTAGTTTTTCTCTGAAATTTAAAACGTGCAAATGTGTATTTCCATCTTCAAGTAACATGTATGATCGCTGTTGTTTCAAGAACAGTGATGAGCGTTTCACGGAGTTTTTAATTCATGGAGATCATTAACACTTATAACTTTGTTATTTTGCAAATCGTCAGTAGACGGTATCTTAGCCTGTAGCAGTAGACGGAATGATATATGATTTATGCCGGTGTGAAGCCTATTTGACTCGTTTTCATAAAAATATGTACTAACTTTTTTACTGTTTTATATTACTAAAGAATAGAATAAATGATTGCACCGTTGCTGAGTCTGACCGCATAATTATAATCATACCTAATTTTAGTGTGCAGTGATAACCAATTTGTGCAGTGATAAAATAAGAAATGTGCAGTGATAAATGGTATTTTCTCAACAGAACTCACTCTGTTGAGACGGAATCGTCTGTAGTTGTCCCCCAAAATGCGGGAAATCAAGTCATAGGGACTTGAAACTACAAATAATTTTCTGTGGCAGGTACTGCAGACCCCCTACATCTCATCCATCTTTAAATTACCAATTTCCAATTAGTACCAATTGTATAATCTACTATACCCGGTACTATACTATTGTAATCATATGTGCAGTGATAAAAGATTCTTAAAATTAGCTATGATTAGAATACGACCAAACGTTGGTAAAAATAAATACGTACGTAATTTGCCATTTGGTCAGTCCGGATGGATAAGAATTTTCTTTTGTCTCAAAAGTAGCAAGCGCATATATTAACCGAACATAAACAAAAATTAGCAAACAATCATATTGCAAAAAAGGCACTTCTTTTTCTTATTAGCTTGCAAAGACCCGAAAGCATTAGGTATGGAAGATGGCAAAATTCCAAATTCAAGACTCAAAGCCTCGAGCCAGTGGTCTCAGAGCTGGAGTCCAGGTCACGGTAGGTTACATGGAGGTAACTGCTGGATTGCCCGTTCAAGAGATGGTAACCAATGGATGCAAGTTGACTTCAAGTACAAAGCAACAGTTACAGAGATACTGACACAAGGCCGCAGCGGCGCCAGTCAGTGGGTTAAAAGCTACACTGTTGGTTATTCTGACGATGGCACGACATTTAAAACGTACAAAGGGAGTAATGGACAAGACAAGGTAACAAATAGAAACAGCTTGTAAAATTAAACTTGTTTAGCCACTCCGTTGAGCCTAGTCCAGCTTTGTATTGCATCCTGTGAGAAACAAATTAAATAGTGCATTTTAATGAGAACTTCTGAAGTGATGGAAACATGCGACCATTTATATGTGCGCGACACACCGCTGGACTCAAATATTTCTGAGTTACCCAAAATGCACACGTGGTCCTTTACAGTAAAATTTAGTGGGTAGACAGTGGTGAATTTCTAAGACGAATGGCGCAAAAACTTCACACTATTTTGTCTTTTCGTCCTCTCACAAAAACTATTTACAGTTCAGGAAGCTCAAGGTTAACTCATGACCATATATCGACAGGTATTTTCTGCGAATAGTGATCGGAACAGTGTTGTTCGCCAAGAAATATCGCCTGTTGTTGTTGCAAGATTCATCAGAATTCAACCAAAAACATGGCATTCCTACATTTCTATGAGAGTCGAGTTTTATGGTTGCTTTGAAGGTACGACGCTGCACAAGTGATAAAGTTGAATCAGGATTTCATAAATAATTGCCATGGCTATTGCTGGTGACTGAAATGTCGCCACGGATAACCTGGTTTCCGCTTGAATAAAACTCATTGTGCAAGGAGTCTTATTTAAGCATGTTTGGTCGCGACCTATTCGTAGTTTTGAATTTATATTTTGTCAATCGGACTGAGATTTAATCGGATTTCGACGGGCAGAAAACTGATCTACTAAGATCTTTCAAAACAGGTGATGGTGACTATCTTGGCATTCACTCGCAAAGTGCATTTACTCCACATTTAAATTACGAAAATAATATTGCATCAAAACTTGGCGATTATGTAAATTTAAAACGTCATTTCACAACTATAGCGATAGATTTTTTCTTATGGCCTGTATAGATCAGGATTTAGTCCCCACAGCAGTTTCCTATTGTTATTCCAACCTGTCCCTATTTTATAAAAAATACAGTTGTTCACTTTGATTTTTCATTATATTTCCAGATCAACCTTGTTCAAAAGATCCGTGTCTCCACGAGGGTACTTGTGAGCATGTTGGGAGCGATTTCATGTGTACCTGCCTCCCAGGGTATTATGGGAAGACATGCGAGCAGAAAGGTAGGAAAGCTTTGACGATTCGCCATCTTTCTTGCAATGGCGGTTTTTTATATGGTGGTTACGAAAAAGGAATTTTGTAGGACTGACCAACTATAAATTGCTCTCTTAGTCAAGAAATGTCAGTTTGAGTTTATTCAGTATTGCCATTCAAAGATTGACAAACGGTGGAACACTCGCAATGCGCAGAGCCGCGGTCCAGTGAGGTAGAATTTCTGCGTAATCATTTAATAACAAGTACAGGTGTAGCACTGCCTACTCCTCCGACTGTTATTATTTCAGAGAGAGTCTAATTGTTCTGTTAAGAGTCTTATTGTTTCAAATATTCTTTGTGCTCAAATGTGGTGTTTCACCTTCCTTTACTTAGATCTATTTACTTAGATATATTACGCGATTACTGAACCATACTGTTTGTTTAAGTATTTAAAGAATGTGCAACGTTTCTTCCTAGCTGGTTATTTTTTGTATGTTTCTTGCAGAATGCAAGGAATCATTACGTCTTGGCATGGAAAATGGTGAGATTTTAGACTCGCAGATCACAGCTTCGTCTGAATACGCCAGCAATCATGGAGCTGACAATGCAAGACTAAACCTGCGGCGTCCAGGCCATGCTAACGCTTGGGTTCCAAGAGTGGCCTCTGGTTCATGGATTCAAGTTGATTTTGAACGTCAGGCTACCATATCAGAAGTTTTAACACAAGGACGAGGTGACCATCCTCAGTGGGTCAAAGCCTATACTCTCTCTTACAGTAACAACGGTCTGGATTTTCATCCATATCGTCAAAATGGATTGGTCAAGGTAATTGGACTTTTTTATTTCCCGATGGTTGATGGTCTTAATTTCCAAAAGAATGTCCACATATTTCAAATTTAAGCAGGTGCTGTTGGGAAAATCATCAATTATGAAATCAATTCCACTTTAATTTATCTCACTAGAAATTATTTCATCGTGTGAAGTGCTACAAATTTAAATAACTTTCTCTTTTTTACTTATATTCCTTTTTTTAAGCCTTAATATGCTGATAGTTTGCTTCTTTTTCATCCTTCAACTACTTCTACTTTTATCATTTTTTATCATCAGGATCGGAGCAAACGTTAACGTTTCTATTTTACACGGTGAATTTTTTAGGAAAAAAGCTGGTTTTCAGATAATATGATTCGTAATATTCCTTGAGATTCGTTTTCATGCGAACAAGTTAAAACAACATGTGAATGACGACGAGTTAAAAACGAATTATGACAAATGATAACCAGAAGCTTTTAGCTAGCTTCTGCAAACGTCTTTAAATTTAACTTCTTTCTTTTTCAGACATTTTCAGCAAACAGGGATCAAAATACAATAGTTCCTCAGAAAATTTGCCCTGTGATTGTCACACGGTACATCAGGATACATCCAACTTCATGGCATGGCAACGTTGCACTCAGAGCAGGATTCAATGGATGTTTAAGAGGTAATATTACAATGAAACCAGGCAAAGTTCAGTGTGTTGATAACAGCAAAGTGAGCAAACGAGCATGCGTAGCCTTAGTTATCTCGCAAAGGCTCAAGAACTGTTGGGTGGCCATGTATCAGAGCGAGGTCCGGGAAAATCATCACTGAGAATTTCAGTCGAAAAAGAGAAGTGTTCTTTTTCAATTTTGTGGTTAATATGAGACACGATGGCTTTGGTTTCCCAAAAATAATGTCAATAATATTTTCGATAATTTTCCTAGTGTTCTATTAGTACATACTTCCGTTAAATGTGCGCCCTTCTTCGTGCCTTTATTTTTTGAATCATTAGCATGCATACACTTTCAACGTCCCTACCCGGTTGCGAAAAGCACATGGGGGTATGGCGTGGGGGTTGGGAGAAAGAAAAGGGGAACGTTATTGCGAACAATTATATCCTTACAGCAGCTAAAACGTCAAAATAAATCTCTTAATTTGAAAGTGAAAATCCTCTTTAATGTTTATTTTTCTGTTTATAAAGACTTCCCGTGTGAGTCTAAACCATGTAAGAACGCCGGGACGTGCCTCAGTTACCATGGCGACTATCGCTGCAGTTGTGCTGAAGGTTTTGCCGGGAGAAACTGTGAGATGAATATTGGTATGTTTCATATTTTGTTTCATTTTAGAATTTCGGAATACATAATTTCCATGGCACTGTTGATTACCAAGGAAGTCCAGCAAAAAATCCCTATTACGACCGACGTTAGGCCTTAAAGACTGACATGAATTTGTTACTATAGACTAGTATCATCCACAATCTTCTTAAAAAGTTTCAGGATGATCTCTCAAATCGAATTTGCATAAACGGAAAATCTATTATGTAACCTATTGTGCATGGTTAGCTGTGTAGTCATATCATATTGATACTTTTCACCTCTCTTGCTTATATTAGCTTGGAAAATTTATGAGAACTTTCGTTATCCCCTGGTAGTGTACACAGGTGCTTCTGGTACATAAAAACAAACTATTATTTTTCAAAATGATTTTTAAAGTAGTCGAAATAGTCGAAATGTCGAATCGCATCATAAAATTATAGCATGCATGATTAATCATGTTAAGATTTTGGATCGATGATATTATTGGAAATTCGTTTCGCAGCTGAAAAGTTTTCGGGAAAGTTTTATTAATTAACTGTCAATCCGATAAAAACAAAAGAAACCAGATTAACAATGCTATTAGAGTGTTTAAGAAAGTTCCGCGTTATAGTTACGTCCAGCGGTATAAACGGCAAGCAAAGAATGATTTTGGGCTAAAAGAACAAGGAGGGAGGTATTTCGTTTTAGACCAATCAACAAGTTTGTTTACATTTTCAGTAACCCGACCAAGCAGAGTGCATAACTTTTAACTATTTACGGTAAAAAGGTACATTATATACTATTTTACATGGAGTATTTAAAATTTACGCATTCTGATTGGCTTTGCCTGAAAAATGTAAACAAACCATTCCGATCAGTTTAAAACGAAACTCCTCCTTTTGGCTAAAGGGTAATAAAGCGCAAATTGACTCGACCATGTTTTTCGCGTATGGAAGGAAATGTAAAATGAAAAGGCGAACGAAAAATTCTGCTAAGAAAGTTTTTGGCTGCGCCATTTGCTGTCTCCTGAGAACGCGATGCTTAAATTTCCTGTTATACATAAATTTTACTTTTGATTTTCCAGGACAATGTGTACCTAACTAGGAGATGAATCTAAACGATGAGGATATCTTTTGAAGAGAAAGCAAATAAGATATAATCAAAATGTTCAAGTTTAAGTTATTGTACGTAGTGAGATTATTCTAGTTGTAGCCAATCAGAAATATGGAGTATATGTGGATTCATATAATAAAATTTAAATCTGCAACATGATTTCACTAGTTTTAACTATTCAGGTGGTCTGGGTGAGGTGCTACTTTTTAGTTAATGTTTTATATTAAAATATACACTGCTTGAAATTATCAACTAGCTGGTATTGGTTTAGTTCTGTTGGCATTTCTCTCAGTGTCAGAAAGATGTGTGTATGATCGGTTTTCACGTTCTGTTCCCTGTGTCTTTTATTGGTATTTACCGTTGCTTATCTATAATCATGTATCATTAATTTTATGCCAGAAAAAACACACCAAATCATCAACAGAAACCAACCCTATGCATCCATTTAATCGTTGATTTCATATAAGTACGATTTTAAACCTTTTCGTGTGTTTAGAAAAGGGGAAACCCCATAATCTATCGGTGGAAACGCCTGTTTAGAAAACAACAATTTCAATTAAGCTATTTTATGTTCTGTAGTTTTTAACTTTTTACCATGGCTAATGCCGTTAGGGGAATAAGGCTAGCACGTTTATGGGGACGACGTATTAAGATATTTTATAGCTAGTGAAATGTCAATGTATGTAAATATGGTTATATGTCATATGACATTCACGCTAACAAGCAATGACTCGAGGGATTTCCCCTCATAATTCATTCGTGGTTCTGTTAAAAGGTCGAGAGAAATTCGATACGGATAATAACAATTTCTGTGAGCAAGAGCAGAGCTTCACCGTTCTAAAGGTAAAGAACAATAGATGTTTTGAATGGTTATACTTTTAAAATATTAAATTAATTTAGTTCAAAATTTTCAAAAACGTTATTTGAACAACTGTACATGCGGGGCGATTTGCATGCTGATTGAATATTCTGAATGTTCCGGTTAGGAATCCAACTAAACGAAAGAAATAAAGAAACTCAAACGTATCCTCAAGCGACGTACGGATATTCAAACAATATTTCACTGATTTAAAGTGCACACTAAAGAGAGGAAGATCAGATAAAGCTCTTTAGATTCTCTTGCAAACACGCTGGATGCGAAATTACCGAAGTACAATGAATCAGCATGCTGATGCAATATCCAAAACTTTATATGTAATGGATTTAATGGATCTGGTGGTAGTCACAACTCCATCAACACAAAACAAATCCATTGCTCATCGTGAGAATCAGATACCTGAGGACTTAGATATTTCAATTGCCCTGAACCGTCAAGAAGCGAGTTTAAATTTCTCGGATGAGTTGGACGGCGTGAGAGAAATATCCGAAATACAACCCATTTTGGAAAACTTGGATAGTACGGCTATGTACGGTAAGAATATGTCGACATCCGAAAATAGATTTAAAAACGAGGATTTACCAGCGCACACTAGCTATGATAGATTCATTGCACACTGTGAAAATATCGTTAAGATAAATAAAAATCATAATAGCAATGTCAGGGAAAATTTAAGATACTATCGAAACATGGTCCTGAACGCGAAAACGCTGAAAATGTAGGCGGTCTTACGAAGAGCGTATTGCCAAAATATCCAGTACAGACGCAAGCTATTCCATAGTCGATTATAATACCATTGACATAATTCGAACTATATCTCATTCTCAGAAACAAGATCCCAGGAATGTCCTGTCGTAAGTGCTCCAACAGAAGAAAAACAATCAGTCCAGGTTCCAAGGAGATCAAGCACTGAATATGATGGACATGACCATATTACGAACTTTAACGGAACGACAAATTGATATCACGATGAACTAGGGGAAGGGGTTGCAAGTAATTCGAACCACAGTTTTATTAGACGGCAACTCGAAGAACAAAGTCGATTCTCTTTTAAGGCGCACTTTGATCGTGCAGGCAAGGTAAGAATGTCCGCTTTTGCTCACTTCAGATTTTCTATTTCTCAAAAAAAATGGTTGTAGCTACATGTTTAATCAAAGTACTTTTTTAGATTATTTATATGCTGCTGCTCGTTATGCGGTTGCTGACAATGGTTGTTTACCTTGGTTACGATGTGAAATGCGCAATGATAGAAAGCACAACTTTCGCAAATTGTACTCAAGAATTCCTTGTCCCAAATCCTAAGAACTGGGTGATATATTCCAAAACATTGTCTATTACCTCTTCTTTTATATTGCTATTTCAAATCTGGTACAATCGTGGAGAACTAAAGTATCGCTTGAAACTGTCAGTTAAAACCTTATTTCGCAACGGATCTTTTTGGTTGACAAATTTTTCATTCGGTTTCATTTGTGTTTGTTACATCATCCGAATCGACGGTTCAGATCTCAAGTTATCAATCCCACTTTTGATATGGTGGCCCGCTACACTTCTGGTCGTATATTGCCTGAATTATTTGCGTCCAGTAAATTTGCCAGATCTTTGGTTTATTTGTGGTTATTGGTTCACAATTTTTACATACGTAGTGGAAACATTTTGCGTATTTGTTGCAGTAACGCTGGCTACAACCCAAAGAATAATTCCTTTGATCACAAGTGATGTTGATTACAAAGTTAAAGCGTTCGCATATTTGGTAGCTGTAGCTAGACCCGTTTTAACTTCCCAATTCTTTCATTTCTTTTGGTACAAAGCCTTCCATGGAGGAAGAAACTTCTTTAAATAGGACCGTAGAACATAAAAACTTTCAGTGGAACGGATCCACTGGGTAAGGAACAATAAATTATTACAACTGTAAAGTGTAAATTGCAATCGTTTAGTTTGGATAATATTTATTTTAGTGAATCTTGTACTTCAGGGTGCCCCATCACCCCCCAAAAAACTATTGAAATCACCCATCGTTAAAATTTGAATGACTTGTGCCTGTGGGGGTTAACGCAACATATAAAATGCTAAATACAAAAATTTCAAATTTGCTAGAGAAATTTATTTCAATTTATTGTTGTAAATATATAGTTTCAATTTATTGCTATGTATATATTTCAAAATGTAAGATAAGTATTAAAAAATATTATAAAATTTTAAAAAATGTATGTGAAACTTTTAAAAACTTTAACACTTCAAAAATTTTAGAAAACACTGGTAGCATATGGAAAAAAATAGAAATGTTTTTAGAGAATTTTATTGTCAATTTTCCCCACAGTAGGGGCAACGATAAGCCGTACAGAATCAATCAAAAATCCCAAAAAAATCAAGTTCTAGGTAGGAGTAAATACTGACTTGTCAGGGTGCAGCAAGAGGGGGGGAGATAGGTCACAGGTGGACGGGAACCCGGGAGAATAAGGGCGGGAGGTGTGTGGGAAGCGGAAGAAGAGCGGGCGGGATCCGGGGCCATGCGAGGACGTAAGGCGGTTTTGGCTGTTGAACAAAAACTCGATGCCAATCGTGAGCAAGATTAGATAGGCCAGCTTAATATCCTATTAGGAGTTAGTGGGAAATATGTGGGAGGCGATTTGCAAAAAGGTACGGGATGCTAAAAAAACGGTATGGGAGCCGGGAGTTATTGACCCCACATGTCCCCCGACGCAAGAAGCCAACATCACTCATCAATGTAGCTGTTGCCTGAACATTAGCACCGCAGTTTTTGTTGGTAGCCCGTTCGCGGGCTAACCACTATGCTACATGCAAAAAACGATGAGTGATGATGCATGTCTGTCCGCCGAGTTTGTTTATCTACGAAAGAGACTGGGCAGAGCCGAAATTCTGTCAGCCTGATCGGTGCAAACTGGCCTAAACTTTCAGATAAATTAATCGCAGAAATGGTATTTCATTGGTATTTCGTTGATTATTCTTATGTCTACTTTGTTATAACTGTATCCAACTAGCAAACTAGCCCATTTTTGCCTTTGCTTATAGCATTAGAACGTAAAACTAAGCATCATGCAGTTGATTTCCCCGCCATTATTGCGGCCTGTCATTTGACATTGAACAAAACTTGAAAATCTTTGCCAGTGCTTTGGAGGCTACCCACATGTATGCATTCCATACCTATTTTTTTACTGTAGTGCCTTGAAGGTAGGAGTCATCAATGTAACCATTGTTTAAAATAATGTGCCAGACAGCAGTGGCATATGTGTTTTCTTCCATTATGATAATGTACAATAAATGATATCTTGTGAGTTGGTGATTGGATATTTTGATCTGAACTTGCGTATTTTATGATAGTAATGCCTCCCATATAGATATATCTCGTTGATTCTCATGGTATAATTATTTAAGTTGAATAAGAAATACGTATTATTCGGCTTTTTGTGGACCAAAGATAGCAAAGAGAGGGCCAACAATGATGGGATGTCTCAAAAAATTGAGAGAGATTGAGATGAGGTTATAAAATAATTTGTTAAACGAAAAGTTGGAAACGTTTTGTGTGTCAAGTTCGTATTCAATTAAATGAAAATTTGCGAGACCGACTAAGGCCGACTTAAAAATCGTTTGACGAATACACCTATTTTGGCATATCCTTAATCTATCTAATCTAAATTCATCTTAGATAGCTAGCGATTTTGGTATCGGGGCGGAAAGTGCTTTCACAAGAGCAAAACAACCAGGAACGTGTAATAGCATATTTTAGTTACAGCTTCAGCCGAGCAGATATAGATATATAGTTTAATAAGTCACACACATTGCAGATACAAGGAATGAATTGCGTGGTCATTACAGGTGACAGTAGGCTAAAAATGTTGTTAATATGTGGTATTATCGAGGCGTGTCCTCCTAGTGAAAGTATTACAGCTGTAACCGTTGATATCATGATTGAGCCTGATGGAAATATATCTGTTTTAAGTACGACTGACCAGGTTAGTCGGAAACCGAGGTGACTATTTGAACCTAGTCTAATGGTTTAGTTTCTCTTCTGCAATTAAGTTATGATCCACTCCACTGGCCCAAACACAGGAAATCAATTTCATTTTCGTCCATATTTCGTTTTTCAGATTCATGCGACGTCCGTGTATCGACGTCTGTGTTGGGGCAACTCGGTTCCTCAGGCGTCGGTAGATCCCAGCCTCCAGGTCGAACCACGGCTATATAGTGCGTTTCGACAACGGGACATCATTGGATATATCTCCATAGATTTTGTCACTTTCATCGACCCAG